ATGAAAGATTGTGATATGAATTGATACTCTGTAAAACTGTAAAATTGCAAATAATAATATTGAAATATTGATTGAAAATATTTGTGAAACTGTTTGTTCAGGAAATATTTATCAAAAGTATGACTTCAAGATGTTTATATACACTGGATTTCGGTTAAGCCGATTATTTATGAATTTACCAATTTGATATTAAATATTATGAACTGAGCTTATAAAAATTGCACTGTCAAAATATATTTACAAAATGTGATCATCAACACTCATTGTGAATACTTTGTATACTTCTTCCAGTTAAGCCATTTACCTCTTTAATTTACCAGTTTTATACTAATGATACTAACAGCTGAAACACAGGATAATGAAAAGATGGTGATTTGTAAAAATACTGTATAATGAGATGATAATTGCAAATGAGCTGTGATACAATAATTAATAAAATTTATACAATGTGATAACCCTTTTTGTGCACAATTAAACAATATTTTGAAAGAGAGAGTGAGAGAGTTGATTGTAAGATTGAATGTTCAAATTGGCGGTTTGTTCATTTTTTAAAACTGCAAAGTCTCGGGAAAACCTAGCCTTGATGATTTTATTTATTTGTTTGGATCACCAGACTCCCCAAAGATGTTCGTAATTATCAAACTGGCCAGTTTACAATTTAATCAAACAGGGACTATTATGTAGGTTTGTGATCTACATCACTCCTTGCTGATCAGTGCAACGGGGCTAATCGACTGCTGAGTCGATTATTTGATAATTTTTTTATTTAGTATTTAATATTTATGAATTTAATGGGAGTCTATCCTCATGACCCTTTATCAACCCTAGCCTTCGACCGAGCACTCTGTTACCCCCATTTACGTTACACAATCAAACTCTCACTATTAAAAAATGTAATACTGTTCAAAAATTATTCTACACATGAAATTCAAACGTTTTAAATAATAATACTGACGATGATAGAATCTGACTTTACATAGAATACAAAAATAATAATATCACAGATAAACATTGCTCTTTAAATTAATACACCATTTCAATTCAATTTAAGAAATAATTTTCATTTGACTAGGTTCACTATTATAACTTAAATCCTTTGTATGACATGACCAAATTTAATAAAACATTTTATCCTGAATCGTGACCATGTGCTCTAAGTAGACCAAATGAAACATGAAAATCTCAGACCAAACCAAACATGATTCATAACTTGTAAAACGAGTGGTACATGTGAAAAAATGTGGCAGATTGGCAAGACTATTTTAATACTAAAACACAAATAACACAAACATTTAGACTACTTACGTACACATGTCGACACATTAACATTCATTCCGACGAAGATTCACGCGTACCGAACATTTAAAAACTGACTCGTGGTAATTTTGACTTTTTGTCTGACCGAGCGGAACATCACGACACGGTTTTTTCTGGTGTAGGACTTATTAATTCTTGTTTTTTCGAGCTGGCGTTTAATGATTCAATTGAAAATACCTTCACGACGACCCGCTATTCGCTAGAAACTGACATTTGCTATCGATATGATGCATGTACGAATTTTCATCACGAACGCGAACAATCAATCCGGCATCTCAACTGTCTCGACTTATTACTAATAAAACACACCCCCAAATGCAATTCGGCGAAATTTTGACAATTGCAATCGTTTGATGCACGTACAATTTCCGCCCGAACGCTAATTTCCGAGCTACGAATTAAGATATTAATAAATTCGTCCTACACCAGCGACAAAACGCGACTTCACATGTTGACTACGCGATTACTGAGCCACGAGTGACGACGAGGACGACGAGACGCTTTGCAGACGACGCGGTTCCCCGGTCTTCGTATCCTTCCGCGTTACGTCATGTTTGACTGACTTGTCCATTGCCTGTCGCGGATTTTAAATCTTTTGATTTGAAAATCGGCACAATACATCCATACATCCATACATCGATACATCCAAACGTCCAAACTTTCTTAGTTATAATATTAGTATGATAAGTAAACTGTTGTAATATTGCTTTATGGATGGATTTTTTATTAAACTTGGCAAGTTTATTTATTTCATACTAAGCTAATAATATTTTCCTAAAAATCACACTTCGTTAGTACCCTCCCTGTAGGCAGCAAACCTAGGCACTCATTAAACATAATGTTGTTGAATTAAATTTAATTGAAAATAAATTCTCACAAATGGAATAACGGAAATTTGTTTTGGCTGCAGGTTTACTGCAGTGGGGGTATTATGGAATTTTAATTGATGTAGAAAGAAGACTTTGTGATAGTACATAATTAACTCTAATTTACATAAGATACTAAATAAATCAATCCCGTTGGTCACAATTAGTAGCGCCGGTCGCTTGTTATTTTAACAGCTACTGCAAACCAGCGCTACTCGCTACTATTCGTACATATTTGCTAGCAGCTATGCTCGTGCCTTGCAACATTGTCAGTATGCAAAAGGGCCAATGTTGGTTCTTTGAAAATGCCAAATGGTTTCACTCCCTACCATTTTATTTAGAAACAAAATTTAACTGTATTACTTAACTTGATAATAGTACGTTTTCTAACTCATACTGTGAATACTTATTTAGGCTACCTATGATACAAAACCAATGATAGATTCCTAGGTATAATAAAAGAATAGGTTTATGGTTTACACTGTAAACAAAAAAGCTATCACAATAGTTCCAAATCGAAAAATAGAAAAAAATAGGAAAATAGAAATAAAATATGGAAATTAGGGTAATTTTCTAACATATTTTAATGAAATTATAATCAGGCAAATTGAAATTCGCTCAGTCTATAGATTTTCAGCGGCAGGGGGATTATATTAGTACTGTTTACACAAAAATAAATCAAAAAAGTAAACCTCATAAAACTCAGGATAAGGGCTTAGGTTGATACAGCAATGATTATAGAATCTTAATTATTTCCTATATCCATAAATGATTTCTATTACAACAAATTATTCCGTGTAAAATATTATTACAGCATTTCACAAATATTAGAACACACTCAGTATAATAGATCATAAACATAAACAAATGAAGTAACTGAAAGAATCATGTACCTACTAATGAAATTACAATAACATAATATGATTTGACAGCTCCATTGCATTTAAGTAATGTTAAATAATGTTTAATTTCGGGCTAGTGACATCATTATTGTAAATTTATAATCCTTATCCTATCAGATCTAATATTCGTGCAGTATTTAATATATTTGAACCTGCTGTGTGGAATTGTGAAATCAAAATTCATTTTTGTTCTTTGTTACCATGGATACCATCAATCAATATTTACTTTTAGCGAATTTCCTATATAGGGAATAAGCTATTACCGTAGTACTCATAGTAAGACCTGGACCCGGGACCGATTTACATTTTTGTTTTGAGGTCCCTAGAGGCCAAAAACACCATCCGTTCAAATTCATATATATATATATATGTATTTATATATATGTATTTATATATACATATATGTGTGTCCGTTAGCACCATAACTCGAGCAAAAATGGTCCGATTTTGATGAAATTTGGTACAAATGTGTAAACCTACATTTATTCAAACGAGTTCGCGAACCAGCATGATCGAACTATGGGAACGGGGGTTTATGGGGGGTTTTATGGGGTAAAAATAGGCTTTTCCCGTTTTCGACCCTAAAAACTCAAAATTTCACAATTTCTTTCCAAACCATTTTGTAGAGCTTAAAAAAACAAATAATTTAGTATAATGAAGCGTTATTATGCGCCTAATGGTTATGGAGAAAATTCAAAAAAATTGTTATTTTAAAATTCCCATGTTATTCTTATGGAGAGTAAGTCAACTGTTATAGTTTGCTTGTTTATGAACATATTTTGATCAAATTTGGAAAATACATTCATTTCCTACTAAACTACAGTAATGTATTACCATTTTACAACAAAAAACTATTTTTATCCTCCCTGTTGCAGCAAACCTAAGTACTCGTTAAACTAATTATATATACCTAGGGAATAAAATTTATTTTATTGGCGTAAACCAACACATGGCGCCTATTGGTCTTACAATTTCCCTTGCTTCACTGTGAATGGTTTGCCCTTTTTACTAGTTAGTCCCTAGTTAGCCTAACACTTTTTTACCCACGCCTTAAAATCACTTAATATATACTAAACCGCAATACTCAACTCCACAACACAGTCCAATTACTGTCAGTCTATAGAACAATATAATACAACACTCTTAAGTAATAAAATATGGTAATAATAAGGTAATAAAATATTGTCATAAAATACTTTACGACTAAGAGACCAAAGTTTCATTTTATCAACTTAGAGGGATATAAAATAAATAACTTCAATCCATTAACCATTTTAAAGGTTGTTCGGAAAACCGTCCGATATTAAGTTATAACGTCTTATTTAATGTAGATGATATGAAAATAAGCAAAAAGTTTCCATAATTATATGTACTAAACCTTAATTATGGTTTTCTGTTTAGTTGCTCTGTGCTTAGCAATGGGTACCTAAAGCAGGAAACCCACTAGTCCGACGCTCTCCGACACGACACCTTCCATCAAGTCTCCGTCACCTTCCGACGCCTTCCGCCATTTTAAGGCATTAACCCATTGGTCCGACGGGCACCGACAGTAGGCCTCCGACGAGAAATACACCACCACTCCAACAGTGCCAGTTGCGATGGAACATGTATGTGATCACATACTGTTCACAAGCAGTAGTTAGGGAGACAAGAGCAAATAATAATAAAGTCCATAACATTTATGACGATCTCTGTTAGTATGAGAGATTACAATGGTCAAGGACCTTTTAGACCTACCTTTATAATTCCTGTTACAATTACTTTACTACAGGGAAATTAGCAAAACCGACTAAGCCAATTTATATTTGCCTGAATTGATTTTCAAGGCAAATGTATTCAATTGTGGAGTCGAATCTAAAAAGATTAGTAAGTGATGATAGATTTTTGGGGTTGAATAAAAGTGGAATATGTTAGAGAGGATAAATTTATATTCTTGTCATATAGTACATGCTCCAATCTTTAGGCTATCAAGTGTCTATGTAACTTAGGCCTATATGACTTCTTCTTCTTCTAAGAATGAATGTATTCTTCTTCCTATGTCCGGAGTCGGTTGTGAGGTTATGTAATGTCCTCGTTACTTCATGTGTGTGCTGTTGTGTAGTAACTATAATAGACAATAAAATGTTCCATATCCACATCATTGCGCGTCATTTAATAACCCTAACAGTGGTTATGGGCCCAGAGGCCGTTTGTGGATATGGATATTAATAACTGGAACATTGTGATATCAGTTTGTTCACGGGTTCGTGAGTAACGATTGATCCTAACCTACACATAGGTTGTGCCGTGTGCGACTACGTGAGACTTTTGTTCTTTGTTCTGAAGACAGTACCGACAAAAAATGAGTGCTTCTTCAGGTCTACCTATTGTTGAAAAACTGCAGGGGAGGGAAAACTTCTCAACTTGGAAATTTGCAATGAAGGCCTATCTCGTACATGATGACCTTTGGGATGTCATAGAGGAAACCCCACCGGACCCCATCAGTGATAACTGGAAGAAAAAAGACAAGAAAGCCCATTCAAGAATAGTTTTATTTGTGGATAAGATTAATTATTCTCACATCAGAGACACTAGAACGGCTGCAGAAGCTTGGAACGCCCTGGAAAAGGCCTTTGAGGATTCTGGCTTAACAAGGAAAGTTGGCCTACTAAAAACCTTAGTCACAACCATGCTTGAAAAATGTAAGTCTATTGATGATTATTGTGATAGAATCATAACAACAGCTTTTAAGTTAAATGAAATGAAATTTAATGTTAGTGAGGAGTGGATTGGTACCTTGCTACTCGCAGGTTTGCCTGATCACTACAAACCGATGATCATGGCATTAGAAAATTCGGGAACACCTATCACTGGTGATTCCATCAAAGTAAAGCTCCTTCAGGATGTGAAATCCGAGGACTGGACCGGTGAATCTGCTCTTTATGCCAATAAACAGTTTAGGTCTAATAAGTCGACACCGCTAAAATGTTTTAGGTGCAATAAGCCTAACCATCTAGCTAAGAATTGCCCTCAATCAAATGGTAGTAACAATAAATCTAATAGGCCTAACCAAAACAGTAGGTTTAGACCTAATGAATCTAGATTCTCAGATAGGCCCAATAAAAGTAGGCCTAATGAGTACAAACATGAAAATAGCCATGATACAAGTAAGAAAAATGCTTTTCTGGCTGTAGACAGTCATCGGCGTACCCATAATGAAGGTTTATGGTACTTGGATTCATGTGCGTCCACGCACATTACAAACGATGTAAATAAGCTTAGCAATCTAAAACCAAATAGCTGTACAATAGTTTCAGCAGATGGTTCAGATCTAGTTGCAGTTAGTTCTGGCACTGTAGATCTTGAGCTATAATGGTAGTGAAGTTGTAGACGTAGAAGCCAATGATGTTTTTCACATACCAAGTTCGGCAGTTAACCTACTATCAGTGAGTAAGATAGGAAGGGACACACTGTAACCTTTGACAAAAGTGGGGGTTATGTTCATAATAATGAGACAGGTAATTTAGTTGCAACAGCTCATCTAAAAAATGGAATTTATTGTATGAATACAACAGAAATAAAAAACTGTTTTTATTCTGAGAATAAAGGTATTTTATGGCATCGTAGATTAGGCCATCTGAACCGGAAAGGTATGTTAAAGCTGTCTAAAATATCCACAGGCTTAGACGACAATATTGTAGTGGAAGATCCATGCGAGCTTTGCATAATGGGAAAACAGACACGTTTACCTTTCAAACGGAGCAAAATGTACTCTGAAAATATTCTAGACCTTGTACATACAGATCTCTGTGGACCTATGGAAACTGCATCTGTCGGCGGACGAAGATACTTCTTGACATTCATTGATGACTTCTCAAGACTCATATGTATGTGTATTTTCTCAAAGAAAAATCTGAGGTGACAAAAATCTTCAAAAGTTTCAAAGCCATGGTCGAGAAACAAACGGGAGCGAAAATAAAGAAAATCAGATCGGATAATGGTGGCGAATACGTCAATGAAGAAATGAAGAACTATCTTTCTTCTGAAGGAATTGTTCACCAACTTACGACTCCCTACTCCCCTCAACAAAATGGAGTCGCGGAGCGAGCCAATAGAACATTAGTTGAAAAAGCTCGAACAATGTTGTTTGATGCAAACTTGCCTAAAATATATTGGGCCGAGGCTATTTCTTCAGCTGTGTACTTAACAAACCGCTCGCCTTCAGCAATCCTTGGAGATAGAACACCTTATGAAATATGGCATGGGAGAAAACCCAGTCTAGCTCACCTGAAAGTATTCGGATGCAACGCCATGGTACAGATACCAAAAACGCAAAGAAAGAAATGGGACCCAAAGTCACTAAAATTTATTTTTGTAGGCTACTGTGCATCAACAAAGGGATATCGACTTCTCGACCCTAAGACGAACAAGATTACAATCTCTAGGGATGTAATATTTTTGGAAAACCAAAAAGAAGAGGATCCTGAGACCAGTCAAAAGTTAAATAAGCAAGTTCAGGAGAACAACGTAAACCTTTCAGCACAAATCGAGTCAAGTGAAGATGGATCTGAAGAGAACGAACATCATGCAGAAGATAATCTCCCAAATGAAGATGAAGCTACTGATGATGAAGATTTTCTTGGTTTTGAAAATGAAGACGTACCAAGTGAAGCACCACGACGATCTGCTAGACAGAAGAAACCGAAAACTTGGCCTGATCATGTAATATACTACAGTGAAAAAAATGATGATACAGAAATCACCATAGAAGAAGCCCTAAGTGGTGAAAGATCAAAACAGTGGCAACAAAGTATTGACAAAGAAATACACTCCTTGATAAAAAACAAAACCTTTGAAGAAACTAGCCTACCTATAGGTGTAAAACCATTGAAAACTAAATGGGTACTAAAAATTAAGCCCACATGTGAAAACCAAGAAGAAACTCTCAAGGCGAGACTGGTAATCAAAGGATGTAGCCAGATAAAAGGGATAAATTACGAAGAAACGTTCTCACCTGTGGTGAAATATTCATCCATACGATACCTCATATCCTTGGCAGCCAAAGAAGATTTGGAGATAGATCACATGGATGTGACAACAGCCTACTTGTACGGAGATCTTCATGAAGACGTCTATGTCATACCACCCAAAGAGATCGCTACTTCAAAGGATGGAAACGTTTGGAAATTGAAGAAAGCCGTCTACGGATTGAAGCAAGCTGGAAGAAATTGGAACAGAAAAATAGACGAAGTGCTATCTGGATTGAACTTTACGAGATCTCAAGCTGATCCGTGTGTTTACTATTCAAGACAAGGAAATAACCTACAAGTTATTGCTCTATATGTCGATGACATGCTGTTCTTCTCGAACAACAAGAAATCCATGGAAAAGACGAAGAGTACTCTCAAGACTCACTTTGATATGAAAGACCTTGGACCTGTCAACCATTGTCTCGGCATGACCATCACTCGAAACAGAGAAGCTGGAAAAATTTGGATCTCTCAAGAAGACTACACCAAGAAAGTGCTACAGAGATTCGGTATGAGCGAAGCGAAGCCAGTAACTACTCCACTTGATCCAGGCTTGGACTTCACAACAGTAAGTGACGAAGAGACGGACATGGTGAGTGTTCCATACCAAGAAGCTATCGGTAGTTTACTGTATTTGTCACAAATAACAAGACCAGACATTCCTTTTGCTACCAACTTATTAAGTAGATTCAATAACTCTTACAGTAAGGTACACTGGTTAGCAGTTAAAAGAATTTTTAGGTACTTAAAAGGGTCTGTTAATTTTAAATTGGAATTTTCAAGGGAAGAGAATAAAAATGTAATAGCCTATTGTGATGCAGATTGGGGAAACAAAATAAATGAAAGATATTCTGTTACAGGTTGTTTGTTAAAATGTTCTGGTAGTTTAATATCTTGGTTCAGCAAAAAACAGAGAACAGTAGCATTGTCCACTTGTGAGGCAGAGTATATGGCATTGTCATTTACAGTTCAAGAATTGTTATGGTTAAGACAGTTAATCTCAGAGATTGATCCAAAAAAATGCTCTGAACCCATTTGATGTATATTGTGACAACAAAGGTGCTATTCAGTTGACAAAAAATTTTGTAACTAATGCTAGATCAAAGCACATAGATATTAGGTATCACTTTTTGAGACAACATGTTGAATCAGGGGTTGTTTGTATTAAGTATCTACCTTCTGAAGAAATGTTAGCAGATGTTCTGACCAAGCCCCTAACAAAAGTTAAACATGAGAGTTGTGTACAACATTTTGGAATTGTTAGGCATAGTTAGTTTAGGGCCTAACATATTCTTTTCTGAAATGCATAAACCTAGCAAAAATGAAACATGTTTGTTTAGGGGCCTAGTAAATTTTTCTGTGTGTTTTACATATTTTGCTGAATATAAATTTAAGGGGTGGTGTTAGAGAGGATAAATTTATATTCTTGTCATATAGTACATGCTCCAATCTTTAGGCTATCAAGTGTCTATGTAACTTAGGCCTATATGACTTCTTCTTCTTCTAAGAATGAATGTATTCTTCTTCCTATGTCCGGAGTCGGTTGTGAGGTTATGTAATGTCCTCGTTACTTCATGTGTGTGCTGTTGTGTAGTAACTATAATAGACAATAAAATGTTCCATATCCACATCATTGTGCGTCATTTAATAACCCTAACAGAATATAGTGGCTACTTTAGTTGGATATTACTCCAATCGAAGAAATTGAGCTGTGGCATGCAGTTTTGAAATGGGCAAAATACAAATATGTATGGGATTCAGCGGAAGGAAACATTCTCTATCAGTACATATTTGACCTCTTAAACATACGTTTTTTGGCTATGAAAGAAAATGAGTTTTGGGATGATGTTATTTATAAAGAAATTCTTAATAAAGAAGAAATAAGTGCTATTTTCAAATCGTTTGTATCAAGTAAACCTCATGACATTGGATATTTGAATACAACTACGGAAAATCGCTGCAACGGATTTCCTGGATTTGGCTCATCAAGAGTTGGCACATTGAAAATTATATGGCTACTTCTATAAATCTTTACTTCTCTATTAGTTTGGCAAACTTTTGAGCAGGAAAAAAATCAATGTTCTAACTTTCATCCCTGGACTGGGTATTTTTGGTGTCTTAATGCTGTCAAGGATGAGGTTGAACAGAATCACTATTTACAATTGTATGTTGGTTGTCAAGGAGCAAATAAACTATTTAAACGTAGTGCTGATGTTAAGATACGCCTCATTAATCAGTGTGGAAAATCTGATAAAACCTTTAATTTTACTGGTGATTTTAGTTGGACAAATTGTCGTATAGGATGTGAAAAGTTTTATAATTGGAACGCTCTATTGAATGAAGATGAAGGATTTGTAAAAGATAACAGTGTTGTTGTAGCTGTTGAAATAAGCAGTTGTAGCCTTAGACGTTGAAATAGGCTACGACACGACAGGTTGGATCAAGTAGGGCAAGATGATTGAATCCAATGGCCTTGTTACGTTTAGTTATCCACAGGTTTATGAAAAGAAATTTGAACTAAACACAAAGATTGATTTGCTGGTACTCTAAAAGGTGTCAGTAGGGTAAATGAAAATTAGTTGTTAGTTTGAGTTAGTTGTTCTAAGTACTCTGTTCAAAGTTTTTTGTTCTGTTGTAAACATTAGTTCCATGGTGTTCTGATTTCTGAGATCTAGAATCTGACGTGTTGGTTGTGAGGGGTAACTTATAGAGCAAAATAAAATCATATTAAAAACATGATATCGTTGGGAACGCCTGGGTTGTATAGTAATTGTGTTAAGTTCTATCACATATTTTGTTCTGCTTTTTAGTCTGTGGCTCTGAATCCCACGACACTTGAAAAATGGTCAGATTCTATCTCAAAACATTGAAAGCTTGTACTTAAGTTGTGTAGTTGTGTTTAATGAGATAATGAAAAAAAATTACACCTTGTTTGTTAATAATTTGTTTACATTTCTACCAGAAACTGTACAGTTTGTATTGGGTGAATATATGTTTTTTTAATTATACCTACATTTTTCTCTCCAAAGTCCAATTTAGTATACAAGATTGTTACTTTACAACAATTCCAAATTTTTACAGTTCAAACCATAGGTACTCTATGGCTCTACCATTTGAAGATATTTTTGTCTGGTTTGCAAATTTATCATTATTGATTAACTAATTATTATAAATTCCATTTTGTAGCCCCTGAACTGCTTAGTATAAACTAAATTAAAACATACCTCCATCTTGCAGTTCAAATAAATAGTGTGTTTTTTAATCCACTACATGTTTCGCCATGTTGGCATTTTCAAGTGGTACACTAAAACATTATAATATCCGAATTGGACTCGTCAAGTTGTAGAAATTTACATTTAAACATAAAACTGTGTACGAACAAAACATTTTCATGTAGGCCTACAACACTTACTGCAACCCGATCACGGCACTGACAGAGACAGAACTGGCAGGAAAACTAAGAAGCCGAGACGGAAGTTGTCATGGAAATTTAAAAAAAAAACACAGCCTACCATTTAGTTATTCAAAAAAACATTACTGTCATACTGCTGTTTTAATGGATGCGTTGCGTAGCATTTTAACTCTCTAGGAGTAAAAATCGTGTTTAGCCCCTGGGGAGTAGGTAAAAATCAGCTGTTGTCAACTCAGTTGTAAATTTCGATTGTAAACAATTGCATGTATCTAAAGTATGTTTCGATTGTTTAATGGATTGTAGTTAATTGTTGCCTTATTGTAAATAGTTTTGACATATCGATAGTATAATGTACACTAGTACACTAACACAATCCTAATAGACTAACCGATTGAATCGCTTACTAAATAGCTGCTTATTTGCATTAGCAGAATTGAAAACGAGCTGGAAGTTGTTTTGAAAGATTATCTTTAGGTAAAAAGTTATTTCGTTTTCTGTATCAGTTATTACTTACAATGATAGTGGGGAAAAGCAGATAATTACAGAATTTAAATTATAAAACGTTTTTATTATAAATTAAATGAGTGAAGAACTGTCTACAACTATATTTACAAATTTTTTTATTCTGTATTTACAAAATAAAATTAAAATCTTTTTTCAAAATTAAAATTCAATGCTACAGCAAGGAATTACTCGTATTACAATTTGTATATAAGTAGCTTATTACAGTATCTAGTATCTATTACAAAGTGATTGTTGTCCTCTTTCTTGTAATACTAATTTCAAGTAACCTAATAGTAACTCTAATTTATTGTCCATAAATTGTTAGTAATTTGAATACTACTTCTTAGTCAATGCTCTCATCAGCCCCTGAAACATAACAAAACAGTTTATTTTAACGATAAAAAAACACTATCAATACTGTCCTTAATTAAATATTCTAATCGGTTTATTGCATTGATTGCTTACCGTACAATAAACCATCATCATTAGGTACAATAGTAATCAATAATGAAATCAATGAAACTAACTTTTCTCTATCAATAGGATACAATTTTGCAAAAGAAAAACAGCTCAACCTTTTTAGAATTAATAAATGGTCAATTGACATGGAATAAACATGTAGATCATGTTTGTAGTAGGGTAAGCTCTGGGGTTAATGCAATCCGTAAAATGTCCTTTTATTGTGAGCTGAGCACTTTGCTTCTCCTCTACTATGCTCAATTACACTCTCACATTCAATTTGGATTATTACTATATGGAGGAACATCACAAAGTAACATAACCTTACTAAAATTTTAGTCTCACAGAAGAAGGCGATTAGAGCTCTGTTAAAATTAACTTCCAATACTCATTGCATTGATACATTTAAAGAATTAAGAATATTTATTTACAGTGGTACATTTTTATATCTTTCAAACAATAATGTACGAGGCATGTTTTTTAAGTAAGTACCGTTTTTAAATTTCTTTGTTCCAACACTGCGATTGGTAATTTCGACATTTGCGCTGTGTGTGTGCATCTATTGGTAAGACCTAACCGGAAATTCAAGAAAAATCGGCTGTGTTTACATCCGGTTTCGAGCATTCAAAATGGTGCTGCCACTTGAGACTGCCGCCGACTGTGAAGTGCACGCTGTAATTAGATTTTGAAGTGCTTAAGGTGTGAAAGCTATTGAATATCATCGACAGATTAGTGAAATGTATGGCGAGAACATTATGAGTGCCATGATGGTATGGAAGTGGATAAGGGCATTTAAATACGGCCCCACCAACGTTCATGATGAGTAACGCACTGGGCGGCGTCATTACTGTTCCCGTACCCAGTGCCTTGGACATTTGTAATTTTATTTCTTAAGTAGGTAGGCTATGTATTCTATGGAAAAGTACTGGTATCAAGGATCGTCGTCGAAAAGGTTGTTAGATGAATAAATAGGAAGGTGTACGTGTACACAAGGATGGGCTATGGGCCTATTGGCTGTATGGTCCAGCGATTGCATTACACGGTGAGTAGAAACAGAAAGTTACATATTGGAAAAGCGAGTTTAGCATCATCCGTAAACCTCTGTTACAATCACCCACTGCAGTTGTGATTTTTTTACTTTACACTTTACACAATCGCCATTGAAGCGCCGTCAATGAGTGGAAACCTTGTTTGTAAGCTATTGGCGACGATCATTAAGTGTCCCAGCCATATACAACACTGATTCAAGGTCTTTTTTCTGGTTATCATAATCCAAGAACAATTTTATACACAAATAATTTCTGGTTCCTGATCTGGATGATGCCTTTTATTTAATTTCATTTACGGTTACACTATGATATTGCACTTTAATTAAATCCGTTATGTAAGAAAAACGTTTTTAATCTCACTCGTAACGTTGACAACGAACTCGTAAAGGTCTTCTTTGCAGCAACACCCGCGATCACCCACTGCAGTACTGTAGTAATTATTTACTTGATAGAACAGCGATCGAAACGCCGTTAAATCTCGATTGTAGGCTATTAGTGGCAATTATTTAAAAATTTAAGTTTCCCAGTCTTATAAAACACTCATTTGCTGTATTTTCCCTGGTTATCAAAACTTAAGTTGAATTTTATAGACATAGAATCTGCAGGTTCTTGACCTGGATGTGGATGATGATTATTTTAATTTACAGTTAACATTATAGTACTTGCGATCGATTAAATCCGTTATGCAAGACAAAAGGTCAATTAACGTACTTGGTTCCTCAATGAATGGTTTTCGATTTGCGTACAAAATGTGATTGGAAATGTTGCAGTATTTGTAAACAAAATGTAATGTAAACAATTAAACATCAGTGACAGCTAGAAGTGAGAATTGATCCGTACAGCTGTTCGTTATTTCATAAAATGTAATAGTAAACAATAGGAGAAAGCTTGACAAAAATCGAACAAAAGTGGGTTTTTGATGGTTCGTTATATTTTTTCAAAAGTAGTTAGGCCATATTTTAATTGCCAAAGACACTCTCGCCAATCCAGTGAATACAGAAAAATAATTGGAATCTTGATCTGTCCTCTAGTTTTCAAGGAGTAGGCCGCGTAAAATGACATTTTGGCGTTACAGACGGAGTCACAGAATGGACAAACGACAAACAGACATACAGACAGAAATTGAGATAATACTCGTTTCGGCTTTCTTAGGCTATGAAACGTAAAAATAACCAAAAACTGCATGACTCTAAGCAATGTACAGTCAAAACTGTAATATTATTTATATAGATGAGTACTCATAACGTTAACATGGGAAACTCAAGAGCCACTGGGGCGGAGTCCTTTTGACGGATCTGCACCAAACTTCACACAAACCATCCTTGAATAATGCTTAATAATGCCTGAAAGTTTCATTACAATCTGACGAGCGGTTTCGGAGTCCATAAAGGACAAACAAACAAACAAACATACATACATACAAACAAACATACATTGGATTTTATATACAGGATGTTTTTTTAAAAACTTGCATCTTTATTTATGTAAAAACCGCAATAGATAGAAATATGCAGTTTGTGGGAATCGTCTATTGACGTAGGGGGCCCAATTTTTTTAAATTCAACGTTACATTCACATTCCCCCCTTTCCCCCCTGCCGCCAACTTAAATTTTTAAATAGCAAGGTACCCCTGACAAGGGGTACCTTTCTATTAAAAAAAAAATTAAGTTCCGGGGAGGGGGGGGGGAATATCTCACAAACTTATGAACCGATTTTCAATTTTTTTTTCATCAAAAATTTTATTTTTTCATGCTCTTTCATTTGATATGTCACAAGGGGTACTTTGCTATTTAAAAAAAATTAAGTTGGTGGCAGGGGAAAAGGGGGGGGAATGTGAATGTAACATTGAATTCAAAAAAATTGGGCCCCCTACGTCAATAGATGATTCCCGCAAACTGCATATTTCTATATATTGCGGTTTTTACATAAATAAAGATGCATGTTTTTAAAAAAACACCCTATATATAGATAATCAGTAGTTACGGTTCTAAAACTTAATTATGGGTTTATTTAAATGATTATTGCTCAACAGATAAAAGTTTATAAACAATATTAGTCTCACTACTTTATTAAGTCTTTAAATCAATAGGCCCAATTAATTTAATGTTATATAGTAAATAAAGAATAAGAAATAATATAATTTGCATAAATAATATAAATTTCTTAGAGCCTACTGATTGTGGACTAAATTTAGGAGTAGTCAGGTTGGGTAGCAGGAAAATATTTCAGTTCTGGCAGAGAGGCTGCAATTTTAGGTGGTTATAGTATACAAGTTTCTGAACCTAAAACCGCCCAGACCCCAATTTTTAAGGACCTCAGTCGTCCGTAATGACGTCATCAAAATGGCAGCCGTAAGAGGATGCTGGGTCCCCATGAATTGGCTATAACGACCGAATGCCTGAACCGATTTTCATGAAATTTGGCACACAAGTGCTTGAATACATTATCTCGGCCTGGGTTGAAAATGGTCAAGTTTCATAAAGTCATTTCAAAATGACGGCTGTTCAAAACTAAACAAATTATGAGGAAAATAATTGTGAATTGTTTTATACAGGTTGAGTTTTAAATGAGTTCCCCCCCCCTATTTTTTTATACATTTCGTAAGATATCAACTCCGAATCATGTCAGATCATTGTAGAGTAGCAAGTACTTCATTTTGACTGGGTTTAAATTTTTGGCCGCCATCTTGGATCCGCCATATTTGATACAAAGTTATTTTTTCGAATGTAAAGGTAGGGTTGTGACCCACCGTTTCAAACAAGACTTTTACGCTGAATACGATGATGCAATCCGTTAAAAAAAATGTTAATCCATTCTAAAGTTATGAGAACTTTTTATAACTTTAGTTTTAGTCCATTATAACATTGTGCCTTTACAAACTAAGGCCATAATCTCAAAATAGTGCTAGATAAAGATAAGTGGACACCACCATTCATTGTTGACCTATTTTCACTCGGTTATGACGGATGTAATTTTTCAGCCGCCATCTTGGATCCGCCATTTTGAAATGTGATAAATTATTTTATCCATTTTTTGTTATCAAGCTTTCTTGATAAAATATTAAAATTTTTTTTTATTTAAAATGTCAATATTTCAAAAATCAAATATGACAATGAAAAAACGGATTGCGGCATTGAATTCAGCATAAAAAAGTAGTTTAAAATGATGGGTCACAACACCACCTTAATATTTAAAATAATTCATTTCAATGTCAGTAGATTCTATATTCTGGAATTTGTTTTTAGAATGGTGAATATTTAGTAAGAGTGACTCACCAATCTTGATCATGTTGACATATCATTAGGACCTGTCTTTGGTCCATAATCTGGTTGTCTTGGTGTTTCTTCTGTAGGGAAATTAGGTCCATAGTTGGGTTGTCTTGGTGATTGTTCAGGTGGATAATTAGGTCCATTATCTGGTTGTCTTGGTGTTTCTTCTGTAGGGAAATTAGGTCCATAATTGGGTTGTCTTGGTGGTTGCTGAGGAGGATAGTTAGGTCCATTATATGGTTGTCTTGGTGTTTCTTCAGTAGGGTAATTAGGTCCATAATTTGGTTGTCTTGGTGATTGTTCAGGTGGATAATTAGGTCCATTATCTGGTTGTCTTGGTGTTTCTTCAGTAGGGTAATTAGGTCCATAATTGGGTTGTCTTGGTGATTGTTCAGGTGGATAATTAGGTCCATTATCTGGTTGTCTTGGTGTTTCTTCTGTAGGGAAATTAGGTCCATAATTGGGTTGTCTTGGTGGTTGCTGAGGAGGATAGTTAGGTCCATTATCTGGTTGTCTTGGTGTTTCTTCAGTAGGGTAGTTAGGTCCATAGTTTGGTCTTCTTGGCGATTGATCAGGAGGAAAGCTAGGTTCAAAATCTGGTATTCTTGGAAATCCTTTGGGAAAGAAATCAGGGAAATCTCCAAGATTTATTTTAGGGAATCTTTCAAACCATGATTCTGGATCGAATTCATCTCCAGGTCTACCTCCTGGAGTTCTTGGAATCATTCCTGGAAAATCTCCTGGCTGTATTCCAGGAAATTCATCTGGAAATAGTCCTCCAAAATCTGTGTCATCACCAGGTTCACCTGCAGGGGGTTTCTCAGATGAAGAATTTGACTTACAGCAAGGTGGTCTTCTTGGAAATCCCCTAGGAAAACCACCACTAAAGTCTGGAAATTCGCCAATATTTATCCTTGGAAATCCACTTTCAAATGGTTCACCATGAGGCCACCATCTACTATTTACCCTTGAAAAAATGTCAGGGAAATCTGACGGTCTTTTTGGAAATCTAGTTTGAACCCTTGTTACTGATGGTACATCAGTAGAAGAATCTGAGTTTTGGTAGTCGTTTCCCCTTGGATATCCTGTCGGGGGTTGTTCTTCCCTATCATCTGATCGTCTTCTTGAAGGTTGTCTAGGATATTGTGATGGAACTCTGGAATCAGTGCTAGGACTCCTATATGCATCACTACTTACATCTCCAGTTGCAGGAGCAGATGATATACTATGTAGACACTCACAAATGAGAAGTATCACTAACACTGTCTTCATGGTCACTGATAGCTCCACACTTAGCTCATTGTTTATATATCTGAGGTTCTGACCTATTGCTATCACTTCGCTTCACAATAGGCAAAACCCAAACCGTCTATCTGACCTTATCAAAGTTAGTAGTAAAAGATGATTGTTTTTCCTTTTAATTATGATTTGCAGGCTCTTTTTCCTTACAGTGGTACAAATCAGTATTTTCATAAAAATTATTATTTTAATAACCAAATTTTAAGCAGGCCTAGGTCTATTTGCAATTATTGATTTTAGACTATTCTATTGTTGTTTGAAATGCTCAATAATGCAACAAAAACTGATATCGAAATAAAATCGAAGTGAACCGTAAAACAAACTGTTATCTGTATTTATAGGCAAGCATGTTTCTTTAAAACATCAGGTCGTGTGCATCGCAGGGAAAATCTGCGCATACTGTTAAAAAGATATTTTATAAATTAAAATAGGTTAAGAATAAAAATAAACACTTAAAATGAATTTAAATTTAAAAAAAAAATTACATGGGCCTTATGGGTTGCCATGGTGGTGACGAAATAAAACAGAACATCTAAACAAATGGAAAAAATTCCAATCACAAGTTTTTTTTTACAGGGTGGGGTGAAAATAGAAAAGTCTGAACATTAGATTTTTTGGTTGAGTTTTTTGCCACTGGATGACCTCTACATAGTAATAATAATAAACAAATTTCTGAGCTATCAAACAGTCCGTTGGCATGATATATTATAGTACACTGTTACATTGTAATTGTAGTTGTTTCAAGCCATCCTCATTTTCTATCGTAAGATTCCCTGTTTTATTATACTTGCATGTGAGAGGTTAAGTTTGCCTCAATAAAGAAGGATTGTCATTTTATTTCAAGTGCATTATTGCAATTGTAGCTATATCCATTACAGATTTTAAGAAAACAGTACCTAAATGTTTAAGATAAAAGGTGGTCAGATATTTCTCCTAAATTTTGTCTTTTCTTTGTCTGGAACATGGATTTACTTAATTGGCAGGTTTGCTGTAGTTTTATTCTTGTTAAGATTTCTTTTCTTATTTTTTTTATTTTTAACAAATTAAATCTTTTCTTTGACTTTGGTGTCTTGTTCCAAACTGGATAAATTTGTATATTTATGCTTTATGACCTCCCAACTCTATCTGAAAATCTGTGTATTTCTCAGTGGCAAGGTTGGAACTGGAATGCCATTCAGAAGAAAGGGAGAAAACCACAGCTAGACACAACTTGGGTGATTTTGTACGAAGATTGTCCACGGCTCTGGGAACAGAGGGCCCCGAACCTACAAGTCAAGAGGGACTCATTCACAAGGCTTCAGAACTGGTCCAGGTACCAACATTTTTGTTTCATATTATGTATTATTTTGCTCCAGAATTGAACTATGGACAAGGGAATGCGCCTAGCCCAGCCGATGGCTTGACCTGCTGATATTTTGAAGTCATGGCCAATCACCCCTCTTTCCAACTGGAGTGGGGAGAGGGGTCGCCTCAGCTTTGGTGGCCTTGTCACCCGCGATTTTTAAGTTGTTCATTCCCACTAAATTAGCAATATACAGAGTGTTATCGGCAATGAAGTCAAGAAAAAAGGGATACCAACATAAGCTTGTTTTGTCGTTAACCCTCCGAGGGTCACGCGTCAAAAAATCGACGCACAACACACTTTGTGTAGGGTCACGCGTCTAGTTTAAGACGCACAAACATCGTTTACGGCGAAGGCTCTATGACTGACTGAATCGGATTGAACTGGATCGAGTTAGGTATCGTTTTTTCCGTAATATTCTAAGCTTTCTCCAGAGGTCTGTCTCTAAGCGCTATTCATTTTAGTTCCGAAAATATTGTAGCAGACAGCTGACGTGCGTGTATTTGTAAACAGCTAGGTTCCCCCGCACCGATGACTGATGTGTTTTATTACGTTTATCATTTTTTTAGTGTTAAAAATCAAAAGTAGTGATATACGTGGTGCATTATAAGAAGATTTAAGTGGTTTTGAAGTGCTGGTTGATGATCCTGAAGAAGTAGGTAGTGATATTGATGTAAATTATCAGCCAGATTCCTAGCTATGGTTAGGCTATGCATTCTTAGCTAAACGCTATATATACTGAAATCAGTTTTTTGCCCATAACTTATTTATTTGCAAATCTACTTCCTTATATTATTATATATTTGTAATCCTCATAAAATTTAGAACAAAGTGGCTATTTTGAAATATTTATAGGCCTATAATTTATACAATTTCATTGAGCGCAAACTTATTTTTTTTTTGAAAATTTTCAAAATTATATTTTTTTTTACCTAAAATTTTTTTTTTTGAAAAAATGTTCCTTATGTTTTATATATAATATTGAAGCCCATGATTTTCCAAACAAAATGGTATATAGAACATTAGAATTAACATTGTTTTAAGCTTCTCAGATCCGTTTTAATAAAACCTTGCAAATGCGCCAAAAATAGGTGGACATTAAGGCCTAAACTATGGACACTCGGAGGGTTAAGCAGTACCTGCGTACTTTTAATTTGGGTTGCGCTTTAAAATAAACACCCGTTTTAAATCAAATTTGTACATAGTATGCCATCGTACATTTCTGCCTCGAAAGACTAAGCTAACTTATTAGAACTATTACATACATATACCACGCAGAACACACAACATATTGACACTATTTTCCAGTCGACTTATCCGTTAAGTTAGATGTTAACCTTACATAATGAGCAAACCTTGAAGCATACACAATTTGGATTACTAGTGGGATACTGGAATTCTACAGAAGCAGTTACTGGGAATGTTATTTTAAGCAACAAGGCATCTGAGAGGGAACTTGGATAATTTTCTGTGACAATCATAGTACATTTTGAAAACACAATGATTATTTTAATATGATTGATTTACAGGAGACGAGTAGGCTGCGTAACCGCTCAGCTAACCTTGCAGACACGCTGTCTAGTGTGGAGGTGGAACTTCGTAGCTGCAGAGACGCTCTTGAGCGAGCTCTAGCGGACAGAGACGAGCTACAACGACAAGAAGCTTGTCATACCGCGGAGATTGATAGACTTAGGCAGGTCAGGAGTTAAATCGTCAAACTTTACAGTTTTTTGTTTTTTTTTTTGTTTTTTTTTCTTAGGGAGAGGAGGGAAAATGCTTTTACGCACATAGGTAGCCAGCCTGTAGTGTGAGACTCTTGAAAATTATCAGACTACTCACTAAAAAACCCCCTCTACTCTGTTGGACACAGACCTGGAATTGTTTGTCACATTACTTCAAGTCAGGCCAACATGTGACCTAAGCCTAGGGGCTCGCACCGTTTCTGGCATTTAGATTCTTAATGACCTACACCGCATCCCGGTCAAGGTCGATCTTCTTGGCGCGGAGAATACCCTGGATATAATGTGACACACAGGTCCAATTGTCCTCACCCTCCGTCATAATCGGTATGACCGTGTCCACCGACAGCAGTCCTACTAACTGTTGAGCCTCCATCCGGGGCCTTTCCCAGAGCTGACTTTACAGTGATCAATGTATAAGTTTGAATCGCTTAATCTTACCGCAGATTAAGGTCTTTCAACGAGCTCTCATTGCAGTCAAGTGAATTAGTACAGATCTGACACTAGCACTATGTCATCCACGCCCTTCTAGCCGGTCCCATTCATATCTGACAATTAGTCTCGATGTAGTAAATGAAGATAATGAGGAAAAACCTCTAGTCATGCTAAGGATGAAAAAATGAATAGTTGAAGATGAAGTGAAGAACCCAACTAGTGTCAGATTTGATTTAGCTCGCTCGACTGGGACTGGAGCTTATTGTATAAATAAACTTACTGGCAAATCTCGTAATAATTTAATTTTTTATTTAATAAAAAAATACCGACTGAATTTAATGATTTTTAAAATTTAATTAAATTACAAATACTAATAACAACCTCGATTTGAAAAAGAATATTTGAAAACATTTAAGTTTTCAAATAGTTTTTAATCAAAAATGGTTTGATACATATTATAGTATTTATATATTTAACATTATCAAAAATTTTGCAGTATCAAGATCATGTTTCAAATTCTGGGAAACACTTTTACCAAAGCTGCAAATTATACTTTTCACCACACTATAAAACAAACAAACAAGTTGTAAAATTCAAAAATAAGAAAATAGAATCTTCCAGGAACGAAACATTTTGAATTGACAAAAATATTAAAGCTACAAAGGGATCTTATTGGATTATTGGATTGTGTTAAGATTTAAACGTATTTCCACCTAACTACAGTATAGCTATTTATGTGTTAAAAGCACAAAACAGGTCATTACCGCTCGAGGCGACCATACGTTTCGAGAGTGGCAATGACTGTTTGTGCTGTTAATACAAGATTTGTCCTACCACCATTTTAAACTCATCATAACACACAAATTAACTTGAAGTTGATAAAATGTAATTTAGGCTATGTTATTTGCTTACCGGATGTTGGTGTATAGAAACGCCAACAGTGAAATCAGCTTACCATTTTCATGCAGTGGTAGGAACAACAACAGCTGATTTTCTGCTCTCAAGCCAAAGGTGATCCTGAAAATGTCCCAATGTAGAAAATAATAGTATTATACCTTATCACGTTTTTCTCAGGAGAAAGAAAATCTAGAAGTTCAGAAACACTGTTTGGAGAGAGATCTTCAGGAACTTAAAGAGAGATATAACTCTGTGAGTCGTCAACTAGGAACCGCAACTGGTGACATAGCTGCCAAGGAAGTTCAAATCTGCAATCTGAGAGGTTAGGAGAACAGGTTAATTGACTTTGCAAGCTGTAACACTAACAATAACAAATACTTTTCTTCTCTGCACATTCAATAAATTGTAAATATTTCTCAGACTGTCCAAAGGAATCCTTTCTCTTTTCTTCCTTACCAAGGAAAGTCGAATACTAATTTGTAGACTCAAGTGTGTATCAATTATAATTTTTCTGGAAAAGTAGATCATGTTTCCTTTTATTATGTTCTTTAGTTTTACAATACAAGTTTGGTTTCTTCGTTCCAGATGATCTAAAACAACGTGAAGAAAAAGGCCAAAGACTGCAGAACGAGTTGCGGCACTTACTAGAGTCGCTGGCCATCCTGTTAAGCACACCGTGTCGCTTCGTAGAATCTCAGGAGTGTGCTGTGAAGGATAGGATACGAGAATTGCTCAATGATAACAAGGATAAGTCTTCGGTAAATATATTGTCTATTGTCTTTTAGTAGTACTATTTGATATTTGAAACTGACGTAGACATCCCATCCATAAACCTGCTGCAACACATTTAATTTGTTTCAAACAATATTTGAACAAGCCTCTCACAAAGTACTAAGTTAATATGTTAAAATCAAAATCATTTCTCCTTCAGCTTTGTGAAGTGTATATTTGGTTTTGGTGTAACATGTATAGTTTGACTCAGCTAAAAAGTTGGTGTAAAACTAAAATCAGTATATTGACATCATCACACTCCCAGTGATTCAATTCAACTATGTCCTTATTTATTCTAAAACTGGAGGATCAAGCTGGTCTAGTGGTACTGGTAATGGCTTCATTTCCTGAGGTACTGGGTTCATATCCCGCCAAATCACCAATGGATTTGATCTAAAATGATAATGCCGCAACCCCTAGGTCTAGCCTGAAGTAATGTGAAATACCCCCGCCGCAGCAAACCTGCAGACTAAGCGAATCTCCATTTGACTGATTGGATTTACACTGAAATGTCTACTTAAAAATATAACATTTATTCTTGATTTAAATAGAATTAGTTTAACAAGTACTTAGGTTTGCTGCATCAGGGAGGGTAAAACTGTTTTTTTTTTGTAAAATGTGAATAGTTAGTAAGAAATAAAAACATTCTCCAAATTTGATCAAAATATGTTCACAAACAAGCAAACTACAACAGTTTACTTATTCTCCATAAGAATAACATGAGAATTTTAAATTTACAATTTTTTGGAATTTTCTCCGTAACCATTAGGCGCATAATAACGCTTCAATATACTAAATTATTTGTTTTTTAAGCTCTACAAAATGGTTTGGAAAGAAATTGCTAAATTTTATGTTTTTTGGGTCAAAAATGGGAAAAACCTTTTTTTACCCCATAAAACCCCCCGTAAACCCCCGTTCCCATGGTCCGATCATGCTGGATCGCGAACTCGTTCGAATAAACGTACGTTTACATGTTTGTACCAAATTTCATCAAAATCGGATCATTTTTGCTCGAGTTATCATGCTGACGGACACATATCCTACTAATATTATAAATGAGAAAGTTCGGATGTATGGATGTATGGATGTATGTTTGTGACAAGTGAACGCGAAAAATACTGGTAGGATTGGGCTGAAATTTGGCATGATGATAGCTCACATTCCCGATTAACATATAGGCATATTCTTATTTCAAAAATCCTTTCGGGCTCCGCCCCAGTGGCTCTGAAGTTTGAGAAAGTTCGGATGTATGGATGTATGGATGTATGGATGTATGTTTGTGACAAGTGAACGCGAAAAATACTGGTAGGATTGGGCTGAAATTTGGCATGATGATAGCTCACATTCCCGATTAACATATAGGCATATTCTTATTTCAAAAATCCTTTCGGGCTCCGCCCCAGTGGCTCTGAAGTTTCCCATGTTAACCTTATGAGAAATGGAATTATTGAATCTTAACAGCTGTTTCAACTAAACAAGTTGGTTCTGTTCTATGATGTTCAATAGCATTAAAGTTACAAGGATTACCAACAGGGTGCAGCTCTATTATTTCTTTTACTTTTATGACAACAGCTAATTTGCAACCATAAGGTGAGTGAGCGTAGCGAACGAACTTCAACCTGGAGGCGAGTTAGCGTAGCGAACGAGCTAATCTGAAGGCAAGTGAGCACAGCGAACGAGCTCCAACCTAAAGGTGAGTGAGTGTAGCGAACAAACTTCAACCAGGACGTGATTGAGCCATGCGAACGAGATAATCTTGAAAATTAAGAAGTTAAACGGGGCAAAGCCCGCGGGTTACAGCTAGTATATATATATATATATATATATATATATATATAAATATATAAATATATATATATATATATTTATGAATTTGAACGGATGGTGTTTTTGGCCTCTAGGGACCTCAAAACGAAAAAAAAAATTGGTCCCGCGTCCAGGTCTTACCATGAGTACTACGGTAATAGCTTATTCCCTATATGGGAAATTCGCTAAAACAATCTCGTGCTCGTGTCTAGCGTCCTATGACAAAAAACGTTTTCTAAAACTGGCTAAAACTTTAACATAGAAACATAATGCCTACTTTAATCAGCAGTCAAGGGCATTATACTTATAGCGTAATCAAAAGGTTATTGTAGAAATAATAAAGTGGACTGTATATGGGATATTAATTTAATTTTGACAACAGAAAATAATGGACTTTTGGTATAATTTTTAACACTACTATAGTTATGTTACCGCTTTGACGTTATTAAGGTCTTGAAAGAAGATCTGGTCGAATGTTGGCTCTAGTCGAGAAGATAATATGTTTCATTAATGTCCAAATGTTCTCACAGTAGGTACACAGAATTTAGAGTCAAATTAAAAAGGGTTTATTTAATGAACACAAAAGGAAAAGGTAAATGAAATAAGTCAAAATAAAAGGAGAGAGAAATGAATTATGTTACACAAAGAAACGATATTACAAGAGAGAAAAGTTGCACTTCTTGAACCAGAATGTTTACCTTGGAATCTTTTCATTTTCAAATTTTTATTATTGTATTGTTGTTGACATGTGGGGATTATTTTAATATGCTCATATGGTCAGCTGGCCTTTTACTGAACATACCGGCCTCCATAAAACGATAGTTTTATAACAGTGAACACCAAATTGTGTAAAAAAACGGAGCACTGAAGAATATTCTGAATATTATTTACAGCTATTTACAGGAGGTTTGTCTTTGAATTTACGTGTTAGCTTCTTAACCGGCCTCCCACACGAATTATGTCGGAAGCATCCAGAAAAGGGTCTAAGGGTTGAAGATTAGAGGTACTGGTTGTGTTCTTGAGAAGTAGAGTCAATTCATTCGTAAAACATGTAGCTTGGACACACTTGATGATCGTACGCTCTGAGTTCTTAAGTTCAGAGACAGTGAGATGCCCATGTCTTCGGTCAGAGCTACGTGCATTGTGGATAAACCGCAAGACATAGCTTGTTACTCTAAGTAGTTTGGACCACGATGAGTACTTGAAGAGAAGATCCCATTCTGGAGGTTGGGTTGAAACTAGGACATTTAGAGGAGTAGTTTTACATTCTTGAGTGTCTTGCAAGTTTATGGGAACAAAGCGATTAGATGGCCAATGATCATCTGAAAGAATTAACCATGGAGGGCCATTCCACCATAGAGGATGATCAATGAGTTGAGCGGGAAGCAAACCACGTGACGCACAATCAGCGGGGTTGTCTGTTGAGGGAACGTAGCGCCAGGAGTGAGAGGGGATCAATTCTTGGACTTGAGCAACTCTGTTGGCAACATACGTTTTAAGTCGATATGAGGGGGTGTGTAACCAAGTGAGGGTTACTGATGAATCACACCACAATGTAGTTTCAGAAAGGTCAATCTTTTCTTTGAAAATTGTACAACAGTAAGTTGTGAGTTTTGCAAGTAAGTGTGCACCACATAGTTCCAAGCGGGGTAGAGTAACACGTTTCAAAGGAGCTACACGTGTTTTTGCGAGAATCTGACGAGTGATGATTTCTCCAGTTGAAAACTCACAGCGGAAGTATAAGACTGCTGAGTATCCTACTTCGGAGGCATCTGAAAATCCATGGAGTTGTAAGGAACATGTGGTAGTGAAATGGAACGAGCGAGGGATCTTAATACTTGAAAGGAGAGAGGTTTCATCAACGAAAATGTGCCATTTCTCGGCAAGTTCATTTGGAAGAGTGTCATCCCATTGGATACCCTGTGACCAGAGTATTTGCATGAGGGTTTTTGCCCACATGGTCACGGGTGACAAAAATCCGGTAGGGTCGAAAATGCGTGCTATAATGCTCAGCACTGATCGTTTTGTAGGAGGACCATCAGGGAGACTTAAGTTGTAAGTGAAACAATCTGAAATGGGTGACCAATGTAGTCCAAGAATGGCAAAATGAGGGTGATTAGTGGCTTCCAAAAAGACTGGTGTTTCTAGATGATCTTGAGGCAAATCTTGGAGTATTTCTGGGCAATTGGATGTCCATTTTCTTAGCTCAAAACCACCACGTGCAAGAAGTTCAATCAGCTGATCTCGTAGTTGCTTAGCTTCGTTGAAAGTATGAGCTCCACAGATGACGTCATCCACATACGTATTTTCCCGTAAAACTTTGGCTGCTGCTGGGAAGGACCCTCCTTCGTCGTCAGCAAGTTGAAGTAACGTTCTGATGGCATGGAAAGGTGAACTGCTAAGACCGTATGTAACTGTCGTTAATTTGTATGTGGAGATTTCTTGAGTCTTTGGATCACGCCATAGAATTAACTGATACTTCTGGTGGTCAGGATGAACTTGAATGCAACGATACATTTTCCTTATATCGCAACTGAACACATAATTATGTGAACGAAAATTCAACAAAATGTCACAAATGTCAATTTGAAGTTTGCGACCGGTTAAAAGAATATCATTTAGTGCGACACCGGTACTGGTTTTGCAACTACCATCAAAAACTGTACGAAGTTTGGTTGTACTACTGGTTTCCTTCAGTACACCGTGATGAGGCAGATAGTAGTGTGGTTGCGAAAGATCGGAAGGGGATGCTTTGACCATGTGTCCGAGATTTTCATATTCAGTCATAAACTGTGTATACAATTCCTTGAAATTAGAGTTGGATTCAAACTTTCGTTCAATTGAGTGAAGTCTATGTTCAGCAGCAGATTTTGAAGTGCCCAGAGGTTGATGTTGGTCCTTGAAAGGGAGTTGAACAACATATGTTCCATCTGGAGAGCGGGAGTGAGTTGATTTGAAGTGATCTTCAGCGATGCGATCGTCTTCAGAGATAAGATTGCACTGCGGTACCTCTTCTTGTTGCCAAAAGCGAAGTAGAGTATTATGTAACTCGTCTGTAGTGGATAGTAGAGACGAATGGCATGAGGTGGGAGAAGAATTAGACAAAGTTGGTGCATTGCCCATTAACACAAATCCCAATCGTGTTCCAATAACGAATGGAAGGTTTGAGCCCAATGGGTAGGATTGATGAGTAAGAAGTTCTGGAAACAAAGCACCTCCTATGAGAATGTCAATATTCTGAGGAATATGAAAGGTCGGATCTGCGAGGACAAAAGGTTTTACTAGTTCGTAAACCTCAAAAGAGAGTTGAGTACGCGGCAAAGGAGCGGAAATTCTATCTAGAATATGGAAAGGTTGATTTGAAGCAATTACTTCACTGCCTAGTGTGGATAGTTCTAGGAGTGCATGTCCCTTTGTCGAGGATTGCGATGCAGAGATTCCCACGATTGTGTGAGTAGAGCGGTGACGAGAGACGTTTAATAGCTGTGCTGCCCTCTCTGTCATGAAGTTGAGTTGACTTCCACTGTCGAGCAGACATCGAAAGACATGAGAGATTCCATTAGTAGCGGTAATTTTAATGAGAGCGGTGCCTAGAAGTACCGTAGTTGCAGGCTGAGAAATCGAGAGCGACATTTCTGGTTGAGCAGAAGCGACTACAGAAGGTGTAGCAGTTGAAGGTTTTGAGGGTTTGGCTACAGGAGGAGGCTGCACCGACTTTACAACATTTTCGAAATGTAACAAGGTGTGGTGTTTTTGTTTACATTTAAGACATGTGCCTGTTGAGCGACAATCTTTGAGTGTGTGATTGCCAAGACATGAAATACATTTATTTTGCTCCTTAACAAGTTTGTAACGCTCGTTTGGAGATTTCTTAGCAAAAACCTTACACATGTAGATTTTGTGATCGGTTTGTTGACAGGCAAAGCATGATGGAAATGTCTTTACAGAAGTGGAGTGATCACCCGAGCTTACAAGTGCAGTATAGCGGATGCTTGGTTTGGAGTAATTTTTACTAGATGTGAGGGCAGGCTTTGAATTAGCCTTGTGACAAAAAGTTGAACAGTGTAGGTTGGCATCTTCACTGTTTGAGCATTCTTCATTGAGAAATTTAATGATTTCGTCCACAGATGGTAACGAATGAGTTTCACATGATTTGAATGAGCAATAATGTTCAAGTTTTTGCCGTAAATTTCTATCAAGTCTACGGAGCAAATGAGCTGACAGCAAAGGATTGTCATTTGTAGTGATGTCACTTTCTAAAGCAATAAGTGATTGTGTATGTTCCAGAAAATGATTTAGAAATTCACGTATTGATTTTGTATTTTCAGATGTGGCAATGGGAAGATCCAATATGGCATTTAAATGTAAAGCAGTTAAGCGTCTGTGATTGTGGTATCGATCGCGCAACAAATTGTACGCGATTTCGTAGTTAGATGCACTGATGTTTAAGTTTTTAATTAAATTTAGAGGTTCTTCAGTTAGACAGCTTAGTAGGTATTGAAATTTTGATACTGGAGACAGAGATGTGTTGAGGTGTACAGCGCTATCAAAAAGATTGATGAAATTAATCCACTCGGCTGAGTTTCCCGAGAAGGTTTTCAAGTCAAGTTGCGGTAGGCGGACAGGTTGCATGAAAGTAGTACAGTTGGAATCATTCACCATTTCTTGAGAGGGAGATTGAGGTTCGTCAATAGGGATTAGTGACTCTATAGTACTACAAAGATGTATACATAATTCACCAATAGTGTTTTCATCATCATTTAGAATAATGTCATCGACTTCTTCGTCAGAACAATGTTCTAAAACGCGCCTGAAATTTAGTTCAAAGTCGTCTCGCTTTTTCCTGATTTCATCTAAATAGTTATGAAGTGATTTTATTTGCACAGAGGATAGGTTGTTTGCTTTAGCACTTTCATTAATATAATCTATATTTTCTTGAATTTTTCCAAGCCTAACTTTGAATTGTTTGGTTAGTCTTTTATAAGTACAAATCTTAATCGGGGCTAGGTTCACAGGGGCCATAATTGAACAAAAATACAGTCAAAATACACAAGACACAAAAAGTTATTTCACTTCGTCACATAAAACAAAATGAATTAGGCTAGTTCAATTAAACAGTTTGTGGGCCTTAACTCGGAACCAATCAACAAAAAATATAAACACTGAAGGATTGGTATAATGTTTACAAAATGACTATAAATGTCACAGTTTTTCAGTCATTGGAGTAGACCTAGATAGGCTAAGGTGAATTAGGCTACTGTGATCTAGAGAGTGAGAGAGATAGAGGTAGAGGGAGAGTACACAATATGCGGGAACGACAATATTGAGAGTTTATGAGGTAATGTTCGTCTTTAATCTTCACCAAAAGTCCAAATAATTAATCCAATCAATTGGTTAATCAACAATCCGACGCGAACGGACCAAAGATATAGCGTAATCAAAAGGTTATTGTAGAAATAATAAAGTGGACTGTATATGGGATATTAATTTAATTTTGACAACAGAAAATAATGGACTTTTGGTATAATTTTTAACACTACTATAGTTATGTTACCACTTTGACGTTATTAAGGTCTTGAAAGAAGATCTGGTCGAATGTTGGCTCTAGTCGAGAAGATAATATGTTTCATTAATGTCCAAATGTTCTCACAGTAGGTACACAGAATTTAGAGTCAAATTAAAAAGGGTTTATTTAATGAACACAAAAGGAAAAGGTAAATGAAATAAGTCAAAATAAAAGGAGAGAGAAATGAATTATGTTACACAAAGAAACGATATTACAAGAGAGAAAAGTTGCACTTCTTGAACCAGAATGTTTACCTTGGAATCTTTTCATTTTCAAATTTTTATTATTGTATTGTTGTTGACATGTGGGGATTATTTTAATATGCTCATATGGTCAGCTGGCCTTTTACTGAACAATACTTAAAAAGCTACAATTTTTTATATTTTTCATTTTATTTACGTTTTACACATTCTTACACTTTTAAAGGGGTTTTTTAAGGGATCGGTCCAAATCCTGTTACTATTAAATAGTATTGAATTTTAATTTCAACCTCTTGCCAGATAGCATTGATAGCCCAATGACATATATGGCATTTGGGTCCAGATACAAACTCGCTTGCAATCAAATCAGTGACCTTCAGATTTGAAGGCGAGCAATACGTTCTCTCAGCTAATCTGGTACTCTCCAAATGCATATGTGTTTTGGAGGTCGATAAATTAAATTATTCAAAGATAATGAAACAATTGATTTTACTTGAGCCTGTATACAGGGTAGGGTGGACGTCATGTACCTGGTTTTATCTTAAAATTTTAAAATGGTGTAAAACAAAACTTAAGTTATTCACTGATAATTATTATTATGCCTCGCCCCCACAGTTGAGTTTTGTTTCACAGTATTCATAGTCATATTAGTCAAAATGAAGAATATTAATTCAATGTTGACATAATTTTACATAATACCATTATTCTCTTCTGTTTGTGTTTTTTGTTGTGTTTTTTTTTTTTTTTGCAAGGTACAGGGTGTAGTAATATGATTCTATTAACCACCACTGCTTACATTTACAGCAATTGGACCACCTGAAAGATAAAGTGTCTGCCCTCAAGTCACAAGTTCACGGTTTACAAGAGTCTCTGGATCTCGCCAACGTGAGGATACGTAACCTGGAAGACGACAAGTCAACTGTTAGTTCACGACTTCATAACACCGAGGCTCAACTCAGCTCCTGCGAGGCAGTCAAGGAAAACTTAAGAAGAGACAAAGTTATTGTAAGTTTAACGTCCTCAGAGGATTTGGTGTTTGAAACTAAAATTTAATTTATGTATGTTGATGTTGTAAGGTTATGTATACTGTATTTTTGGGATGTTGGTATTCTATGAAAGTAGTATAGACTCAAAATCAGAGTAGTCACCACAGTGCAAAATTTTCATCCAGAAAGAATATTTTTTCTCTTGGTTTAATCAGCAAAAGCCTAAAGCTGTAACAAAAGTAAAGTCATCATGTATTACAACGCTCACAGTGGAGGAAGCTGCCCTGGGTAGGAATTTCCGCACAGCGCTCGCCACTTGGGCTTTATTTGCAACATACTAGAGCTGAAAGTGCACGGCCGTCCCATAATCTTGTTCCTCTGTACTTTACTTCTCTGTACAACCGGATAGAACAGTGCTGAAGGAAATAAAAAATTAAAAAACTCCTGTGCGGGTGTCAGATTTGAATCAACTCGCTTTTTTTTGCAGTTCGTAACGTTCCTTGACCGTCTTGCTCGAGCATTGAACATGGACGAAATCTCCAAGGAAGTAGGAGTCGATCTGCAGACCGAGTCATTGTTGATGAGAGCTGAGCAATTGACTCGTCTAGAGAGTGATAAATTGATTGACAAGGTTTGATTGCATGTTGAAATATTTATGAATGCTAAGAAATCAAAACAGTATTCATTGTTTTGTTTGGATAAAAGGTCCAAAAAAATGTCAACTATAAACTTACATTAGGTTCTTATGACACTTTTTTTGTAAAACACTCATAGTCTGAAAGCCAATCACTACAAAAGCGATTAATTTGGCATAAATCTGGAGGCTTGGTATAGGATGCTAGTCAGTTTTGCACCAAAAGCCAAAAAGTAGTGTTGGATTTTCTTCAAGTTCAATACGTAGTAAAGGACCTAAAAAATCCCAAGGTGCAAACTTTATTTCCTTTTTCACATCACTATCAAACAAACAATAAGTGGTGTAAGATTAGACATTCTCTGTCTTTAACATTAGTTTTAAAGGGGATTGTTAAGACAAAATAATATGTATTTTAATAGATTTTTGCTATTATTAGGAAAACATCCAAGACCTACAATTAAGGAGGTTACTGTTTATTAATTTATTTAAATGCTACAAAATACAGACCTAAGCAAATTAGACTGTTAGCAAAATTGTCCTGTAACCAAAGGGGGCTCAATATTTTTCATAGGGAGGTCCGGAGGTAATGGTTTTTTGTTTTACCAAGTAAACTCAATTCTTTAACACTTAAAGTGCCTTTGACATGTTTGAACATGAAAATTGCATTTATTTCAATGTTAAGCAATGGCGGGAATTCCCGTCATCAGCACCCAACGTGTTAACAGAAGACCAATATTCTTTTACTTAATTAATTACTGCAAACAAAATTTCTACTTAAAGATTTAAGTATCCTTTCCTACTCTACAACAGAACTTTTAAAGCTGGTTTACAAAAGAATGATTAATCCCAATCTTGAATTCAGAGCAATCTTTAGTCCTTTGAGTCCTTACTAAAAACATTTGTCAATCAACTTCTGGGTTTCTTTATTGTCTTACACTGCCTTTGAGATTGTATCAACATTTTAAACCACCTTAAAAATAAATAGATAACGTAAAAGTCTTTTGTTTGTTTACTTTCCTTTAGTCCAAACTTTGAGAAAAGTGTTTTAGCAATTGTATTTCAGAAGCTTTCTTACTTACATCCATTTTGGTACTGTGTGTGGTATTTTGTCATTGCAAGTTGTTAATGTTGTTGCATGTTGTTGTACAGTTGTTGTTGAGTTACCCATACTGCACTACGATTCCTCGCCTCAAACGTGAACGCTCATGTTGCTATCCACGATGTGAAGTAAGAGTCACATTTCTTTTATATTAGTAGCAAAACTGTTTCGTTGTTTTAATTCTTTAGAATAATCACCAATTTGCACTCTATTGGCCTTGTTTTGAACTAGTATGGATTATAGTGAGAAAGTAGAAATTATGTCCTGTCAGAAAAGTGGTTTTTTAAATTTTTAATGCACATTTATTTTTAAAATTACTACACAAAAATAGCTATAGCTAAAATGTCTAGTGACTTCCAACTCTAAATATCACAAGGATATTGCTAATGTAATGTGATTTATGGAAGTTCATGGTTCAATTGAAATATAAACGTTAAGCATGGTACAGTTTGGTACCAGGCCGGTATCTATTATTTACCTAACATTCCAAGTGTTTGACAATCAGTCTAGGGTTGATGCAAATAGTAAACCCAGCAATAGTATATTACGTTACTAGTCCGGAAAATAAGTGTTTACCAGTTGGGGGTTGTCATTTTCGGGATCACCATACGAGTCCGGCAAACACATTTTGGACAAGTGATGTGCGATATTTAAAAAAGTATGTGTATTTGGCAGAAATTAGTAATTTAGATCAGCAAAATCTGTTGGTGGAGCACATCAACTACGACAATTTTTATAAAAAATCTGGCAACAAATTTTTAACATAGGGATGGAATGTCTGGTGGTTTTATTAGTCTGGTGGTAGTGAGTAATGAAATCCCATTTGATTAAGCAGGCGGCAAAGAGCTATTTTCCAGAGTAAATACTTGGGTGGAAAGTCTGTTATAGCCGAGAAGTGTGGCAAAAAATACTTTATTACCGACCCTTGGTCAGTATAGAACCCTGAGACTATCACTTGGCTTACTATACGTACATGCTGCATTGTTGCAGTCCGCAGTAGTGTACCAGCTGCAGCGGAGAGTTCGCACTCTGCGAGATCAGCTGCAGAGGAGAGATCTGCATCTGGACTTGCTGCGGAGGAAACTTAACCTCCACGAGGACCACTGCAAGGTCCGATCTCTTCTGGAGGCTGAGAGAGACGATGCTAACCAGAGGTAAAACATTCTTGTCAGCCGTATCGTTAAAAAAATTGTTATTTGGCAAATAAAAATAAATAGGATTTGAGTTTAAGAATGCTCAAGAATCTTTGTGATTGAGAGATGAAAAAAGTAGAAGAAAAAAACTACAAAAAATTTAAAGACACATGTATCACAAACATTAGTAATTGAGGGAAGAAAAAACCAAAAATGGAAAAACATAGAAAAATCCAGACTTCTTTACTCGGAGATGTGATAAAAGATACCTACATCAGAAGTATACAAGTTTATCAGAAGGAGACAATCATATGATGGAAATTTTTTAAAGTTCAGAAATAATGTTATAAACATCTAAACAACTATTTTACATAATTGAAAAAAAAACTTTTTGTATTTCTTAATTTTTAGGATGTCAGTTTAAAACTCTCTGTAATATTTTGACAAAATTTTGAAACATTGTTCCAAAACTTTGTGAACATTGTTAACTTTGTAATTACTGCTACAATTATTCACAATGTATACCCTCATTACAGTGTATAATAGGTGATAACTTGTTAATAGAGTGAAGAAATTGGTAAAGCAAGCAGACAAGTTGCAGTTAGACTTGAATGACGCCAGAGCAGAAATACGAGACCTGAAACTACAACTGGGCGAAGCTGCAGACTACAAGGTAGTTGTGTAGAACTTTGTAGCGAATTTTCCATTAGGAATAAGCTATAACTGTTGGTGTCATGGTAAGACTTGGTCCCGGGACCGATTTGCTTTTTCGTTTTGAAGTCTTCAGAAGCCGAAAACACATTTAGTTCTAATACACGTGTCTGTTAGAATGATTTTGACGAAATTGAATGATTTTGACAAACATTGCAAACCTGATGATTCGGCCTTGATGCGGTTGGCTATTAGTCTTCTGTTACTGCTTTGAGGATCTGCAACGGGGACGAAACGTCAGTACATGTTACTTGTGTAATGATATTTTTGCTCTGAAGACAACAATATACTAAGTGTGATCGTGGGAGCCTTACTTCCAGCATGTTTTATAACTAGAAAAATAGAACAGTTTTCTAAAGTTTGATGGTGAATGGTCAGTAACAAAGCGACACAGATTATCTCACTCCATTCTACACTCACCTTGTATTCATATTCAACTTAAAATACAGACCTAAGTGTGCGTCGTTGTCTCAAAGAATTTACTATTCAACATACGAAACTCAATCATACAAATATAAGTTAAATATGATACAATCAAATAAATTTAATTAGTTCAATCATTGTGACAATGCAAGAACAGATCTAACCATCTAAAGAGTTATTATAAATCTTTGTGGAAAATGTATTTAAGATTTTTCAAAGTACCTATATAGAATACTTCCTTGCCTTGCCACATTTATTTGTCTTCTATTTCCATGATGCCAATAAAATTGGTCATTAAAATAATTAAATTGTTGATTACTTGAGTAATCTCTAAATATTTAATGCAACCATTTAATTTTTACAGACAACAGCCATAGAAAGAGCAAGGAAAATAGAGGAGCTACAGAAGCGCCTCTTAGATTCTGAGGTGTTGCGAACTCGATGCACTCGGAAAGTAAACTTGCTCAAAGATCAGGTAATTTAGTGATGATTTACAGTACCTTGAGCATCATACCTCTCATACTTGTGGAGTGTTAAAATTAGCAATGTCTTTCGAAATCTCACTGGTGGTGAGGTGCGCACCTTGACTAGATTTTTTTAAAAAGCTCCTTTATCCACCATCTGTGAAGATGGTGGATGAAGGAGCTTTAAAAAAACTTGCTCATGTTAACACTCCACTGTAGACAAAGTACGAGAGGTATGATGCTAACGGTAGCTACCACGGTACGCTGAACGGTAGCTGGGTGCGTACTGAGTGTAGGAACACTATAAAATGTTGATGATTGCTCTGCCGAATGTTAAACATGTTACTTTCAGAATGTCTCGTAGTTAGATACTCAATTACAACTATCAACCGTAATGTTATGGTTGTCTTTTGTGCTTATCCGTAAAGACTCACTCTTTTTCTCAAAATTTAACGTAACCCCATCTCATTGAACTAAAAGAAATAGTTTTTTTCTAATTAATGTCTAGTGTAATAGTTTTGACAAAATCACTTCATTTTGTTTTTGTTTAAAAATTCCAAGGTGAAGACGACATCAGACACGTTGGAACATGAGAAACACATGTGTGATCGAACCAAGAGCATGCTGATTGAAGATTTGGCCAAGATTAAAGCTGACCTTTCAGATACCCTGAGGAGAGAAAATTCTGTAAGTTTTACCAGCTTGAATACTATAATCCCAAGTAGCAAAAATCGTTGGCAAATCGTTGGCCCAACGTTTCTGTTGGCCAACGGTATGTTTTGGCACTCAGTCTTACGGTTGGCCAACCAACCAATTTTTGCGGAAGGGCCAACCATCCCATTGGGCATAAACATAAAAAACACAAAATAATAAAGATTTTGTATGAAAAGCATAATTATGAGTTGAGTAAATTGATTAAATAGTTCATAAAAACTTATTTTGAAAATAAAACGAGATAAAATTTTGTTGGCCGGGACGGGTCTTGAACCCGGAACCTTTGACATGTGAGCCTCATGCCTTACCTCTGAGCTAACAGTGCTTGTTGATAAAGGGTGTTTTTAAGTGGTGAAAGAGTAGCCGACAGGTGCAATGGTCACAATTAATTAATACTTTAAATATTTTTGATTCTACAGTAGCTTATAATATGATTCTGTTAATCTGTTTAGGCTTCAAGTAGTTGAATTGTTTTTCTGGTAGTTGGAGAGGATACTAGTATTTGAATATAGATTATTTAATTACCTTTAGATTAGTAGGCTACTGTTATTATTTATTGTTATATATAATTAATTAATCTTTTCTCTATAAAAACTTGCTTAAATAAGTTAAAAAATATTTTTAAAAGAGAATTATAATAATTATTATATGTTAAGCAGGTGTTCCCCACTGTATCTGTTATCGCAGCATCATCTGACTACATTCATTATTAATCCAAATTTTTACAATATTTGTCTTATATTCTGCTGCCATAACATGTATGTACTTTTAAATGAATCAATTTGTTAAAATTCGTTTTAGAATGTTTTATACTTAAACCTAACGAATGCCCAACGAAGGCCCAACGATTCTTTCCTTTGTAGGGCCAACGAATACCAGTTTCCGTTGGGCCAACGTTGGCAAATCATTAAAATTTCTGCCAACCATTTCCCAACCGTGCCGACCATTTCCCAACGTTGGGCCAATGATGTGTGCTACTTGGGATAATTGTATTTTTGGTCATTTAGAGGTGGTATGGTAAACCCTGCTTTTACTATATGAATTTTTACAGCTTAACAGTTTCCGGAGCTCTGTTGTGAGCCTGCTTGGACTGGAGACAACGTGTCCAGACTACGAGATTATCGGGCGGCTGACCAAGGTTATGAATGCTTATAGAGAGTTCTCGTCAGTCTCGCGTCGCTATGACGACCCAGTACTGCCCCATGTACATGTCTCCCCTCGCCGCAGCCCCGCCCGGACAAGTCCCCGTAGAACTCCCCGCTTCTCACCTGATCACAAGACTCCTCGGTACGACGACTCGGGTTTCCTCGACCCACTGGATGACGACTCTGACTTGAACAGTGTTTATAATAAAAGGTCATATCGGCCTTCGTGACACGACTGTTGCTAATGGGATCGTATAATAGAGTAGATTCTACAATCTAATGAGGAATAAAAAAAAAAGTGGACCGCTTTAGTATTCAAGTGAAAATCATAAAAATGAAAGTAAAAATGTAGAAGAATATGGTGAGGATAGAAACCTATGCAGGTACATTTTTCTTGTACTACTTTGATGACACCCCTAATACGGCACTCAACATTTTGGGGTTATCACCTAACCTTGACTAGGCCTTTTGATTGAATTAGACATTTTATCCATGTTTAAGTTGTCACTAGTTTTCAAATGGATGTACAGTAGACTCCCTCTTATCCGGACACCTTTTAACCGGACAAGTTTTATCAGCACATCGGTTTAACCGGCAGGAAGTGGGCGGTACTGAAACGACTGTTCTCTTGGGAAAGATTTTAAACCTGTGATCACGTGTCTAAATACAATGCTCTCCTAAATGTAAGTCAAATACTGTATACAGTATGTGTTTAAAACGGTCCGTTTTAACAAGTTTTTGGAAAGTCAGTTTAACCGGAAAACCCGTTATCCGAATTGGCCTTGGTCCCGAGGAGTCCAGAAAATAGTGAGTCTGCTGTAGGTGATTGAGTCACAGACAGATTGTGTTAAAGTAAATTACTGTTTATGTACACTTTTTTTTACCAAGCCAAATCAATAGGACGACTTTGGTAAGCTGCAGCATCTTTTATGTGACATTAACTATTTCCAATGTAAATTAAAACAGTAGTTCCAGTAACAAAACCAATGGAGAAAATAGTATTTTGGACTTTAGTACACTCTGTGAGTGACTGATTGAACTATGCAGTAAGCTCTAAAATAATAATAAAAAAATAATAATAAAAAAAATATAAAAATAAACGGTATCAGCTTTCTGACACATACTTTCTCCCATAAGTTTGTCAAAAACCTTTATCATGTGTAAGCGGTGAGAGTAAATATACGGAAATGGGATTTGTAAGATTTTCTTCAGAATTTAAAGGACTATAACATACTAAATTGTTATCAAAATCGTTCGAGCCAATATTGGGAAAATATGATTTTCCGTTATTTTATGGGGTTTTATGGGAAAATAACATAATTTACCATAACTTTTGAACCGTAATTTTTACAGAGATGGGATTTGTACCATTTTGTTCAGAATATAAAGGACTATAACATACTAAATTTTTATCAAAATCGTTCAGGCCATTTTTGGGAAAATCTTTTTTTTACCGTCATTTTATGGGGTTTTATGGTAAAATACCCATTAAAAATAAAAATTTCTAAGAAATGAGAAAAACTATCAAAATTGTAAGGACCATAACATACTATGTTAAATAAAAACAGATTTTTTTGTCTAAAATCCTATTTTTCGTTATTTTATGGGGTTATTATGGGAAAATAACATAATTTACCATAACTTTTGAACCGTAATTTTTACAGAAATGGGATTTGTACCATTTTGTTCAGAATTTAAAGGGCTACAACATAATAAATTTTTATCAAAATCGTTCGGGCCATTTTTGAGAAAATACGATTTTTCCAGTTTTTTATGGGTTTTTATGGGAAAATCCCCATTAAAAATCAAAATTTCAAAAAAATGAAAAAAACGCCTGGAGATACCATGGATTAGAACCTACATACCAAATTTCATCGAAATCGGACCACAGGTGTAGTCACTAGCTCTGTACACATCCAGACACACAGACACACAGACACACAGACACACAGACACACACACACACACACACACAGACATCACTTCGAAAACCACTTTTTTGGGTCCAGGGGGACCCAAAACGAATATATCCACTCAAAACTCAAACTCGAAAATTTTGACGAAAACAATACTTTCTCCATATACTATGGTATAGGGGGAGAAAGTAAAAATAAAAAACTACAGCTAATGATAGGACGTCAATACTTCAGAAAAGGTCTACTGTTGTACTGTTGACTATTGGATACTGGAGTAGACATTCCCATCTATGGACAGCTGTCGCCAATTTATTTTTAATAAGAATGTAGTTGTGTGAGCCAGTCACAGGATGCGCTAGTGTCTAAAATACAATTTTCTACCTTTTTTTGGTGCTGACTAAGTTGATGGGTGATAACAGTTGCTATAGCTCATAATAAGTCGTTGTATCAAATTTGAATTGCTAAAAAGCTAAAGTTTTCGACAGTAATCAGTGTTTTAGATCAGCACAATCTGTCGGCGGCTCACATCAACATTCAACAACAACGATTTTGATTAAAAAAGCCGGTAACAAATTTAACATGGGATGGAATGTCTAGTTGTATCAATAGTCAAAGGCTGTACATAATAAATGTTAATCATAACATTGATTTGAGTTATTCAGCAGAAGTCCTTTTTTAAATTACTTGAAAATAAAACTTAGTTCATCGGAAATCAGTGAAAAAATATTTTCATCATACAAGCAATCTGCCACATACAAATTAATGTAAATAATTTCCCCATTGATAATGCAACAACAGTTATCAATGGGTCAATGCTACTATTAAACCATCGCTTTAGATTGAGGAAACTGGGTAAAATGGATTCCCCAAAGTGTTCGTCATTACACAATTATGGATATGGATTTATCGTTTTATCACCACAGGTCAGAAGTTCTTTACAAGATTTTGTTAGCAAGGAAAAGTAATTAAACTATCAATATCCTCCTGGTTATCTTTGTGTATTCATTATGTGATTCTCAATTTAATTAATAGATAAAACTGTGAAAGATCTGATCCAAAAAACTAGGGCTATCTTCTTGATATGACGAACATGTTGAATGTAATCCAGGAAAACTATAGAAGGTGATCGGAAATTGTTTTGACTCAGAATTTCGACCTACCAATTAATTTTTATATTCAAAAGGTCACTGAAAACGTGACATTTATGCAATTCTGTAAAAAATACTGCTTAGAAATTACTGCTAGCCTTAGGTATACTTGTGATTGAAAATATCATTTAAAGTTCACAAAAATTATTAATAGGCTTCTACATATAAGATGGTTACAGGGTGTTGAAAATAACCTTCAGGACTTAAGGATATGGATCCTCATACCAAAAAAAAAAGAAAAAAGTTCATGTGAAGGTATGTCCGAAAATACATATTTACCCAGAAATTTGTCATTTTCTTTTACATACAAATTTTTATCTTTAAAATTGCTCAACCTTTCTTCATGAAACTTGGTATTTATGTGATGGTTAAAGAGACCTCCAAACATACCAAGTCTCATAAAAATTTGTTGAAAAACTTCAAACATAGGAAAACACAATTGATAGCTAACATAAGGATCATGTGACCATATCTTTGAACTTCTTTGCATTGATTGACACTCTAGACAGAAAACTAGATAAAATGAGGCTTTTGTTTAGTCTAACCTCAATAAGTGACGTGACCCTTGATTGTAAAAATCCTCTTCATTTTTTTTTCTCAACCGCCTCTCACCATAAATAGACAGACCTGTTGATCTAAAGACAGTTAAGTAACAATACATTGCCAAGCTACATTAACTGAATTGATGTGGCGAAGGCTCTGACTCACCCAGTATTATTTAACTTATCAACCCAAAGTTTGATGATAGGTAAAATAAAATAAGTTCACCCTCCTTATCACCCACTTTGATTTAAATTACTAAACCCTTTGATATCTCAATCCATAGATAAAAGTGCCCTTAACACTGTTAAATTTTTCAAGTTTTCTTTCCCTTAATGCTTTGTTTGGTTACTTGTGCTTTAGTCAAACTTAAATAATCACAGTTAACAAGGCAGTAGTCTAGGTTGGGAGTTAACCCTCCTTGAAATCCCCTAATTTAGTGGTTAAAAGTTTATGGTTATTAGTTAAATTGTAAACTACACACACAACAGAAAACATTTACACAATTTTTATTGCATTGACCAACATATTTATATTTGCTTGATTGAACTTCAACGTAAATAGCTCATAAACGGGGTGAAAATTTACAGACTCCTGACTTCCCCCTCCCCCCAATTTTTTCCTGGCTACAGCATTGGTCATAGATGATTGTTTTGTTAACAAAAATGTGTAATAGCTTAGCAGATGTATGAAGTAGTGGTTGTGGTAAATTGTAAAGTATTCACGGAGTATTGTGCTCAAAATGTTAGTCTTCCCTGGTCACTTTTAACAAATATAGTGGAACCTCAATAACAAGAATCTTGATAACAAGTCACTCTAGATAACAAGTGTCATTTTCAAACTCCCTAGAATTTATTTTACCCCTAATAACATGTTATTGCAAACCTCAATGAGGCATCAAGTCAACCTTGATAACAAGCCTTTTTAACAATGCCCATGAGAGTCTTGTTATCGAGGTTCTATTGTATTTGAATAGCTGTAATACGTAAGACTCGTTATTAAACCTGGTTCAACCTGCTCTTTAGAATTTAATGTAAACATATAGATGGCAGAAGATCTAACAATTTCGTTCAATCAGTTTTAGTTTTTCATCACCAATATTTGAAGGTCTCTTTCCCTATCATCTCAGCTAATATTTAAGGCTTACGGTTTAAACACAATATTTTATACTCAGTTCTATTGATTTGTACAATGTTTAGTAATACTATTGGCAATCAAAATGTGTTCATTAGAGTTTTAGAAGTTTATTATTGAGTTGGAAATAAAGTTTGTTTTGTTACAAGATGCTTTTTGTTTTTGACTTGTATCCTAGTTGCCAAAATCTTACATGTTTATAGTAACATGTTAACACGTTCGCTACAGCAATCCTACTAAATTTTTCATTCATATGGACATATGCGACGGCCGGTTTCTACCCATAGACTGCTGTTATTTTATATATTTTTTACGCCGTCAGTCTGTAACACTTTAGACACTTTGGCCAGATAAGCTTACTAACACAGCCAAGATATACTTCTTTTAGTAACTCAACATCAATCGAGACTTTCTATAGTCATAAAAGGTTATTTTCATAATCTGAAGTAACTTGTATCTTATTTAAAAATTCAAAAGGACGGGGACGAAAGTTAACAATCATCATTCGTTTAACCTCAGTTTACTGATTGTTGAAGTTAAAGAACATCTTGTTTTGTAAATTAGTTACACATTTAGTCCCAAAGAAATGGAATAACAAATTAACAAGTATGGTAGTAATTACCTATAATATATTTTCAATTATAAAACTAAAATATCACTTTTACATATTCGATGCTTTTGAAGCAACATTGCAACATTGTATAAAACTACATTAGAGTGTACGAAATTATATAAATAGTATTTAAAGTGTTAAGCACGTGACTAGAGGAACGCAGTCTTGATATGTCACAGCCAAAGTGATTCCACATAACGTCACGTTACGTGACTAATCCTTCATGACTTGGTCAATTGCTCTCCCAACTTCTTCAAGTGTGACTTCTGTGAACGAAGAATACAAAATATATAAACATTGTATAAATCATAGCTTACAATTACTTCTACTTGTATATTTGTCTTGTCCATGGATCAATACTTTTGGTATAATAGACTACCCTCTTGTTTGAATCTGTTTAGTTTAAACAAAAATGTTTATAAATGGTTTGGATTGCCACCTTTGAATGTATCATTCTTTTTGCTCACAACAGTAACAACACTTACTATAGTTTGGCCGCTTAGAAAACGACCTGCACGCTAATGCTAAACCAATGCTGGAGGTGGTCGCTTTCTAAGCGGCCGAACTATAAGCCACAAAATTAGTTTGTTTTAAAGTAAAGGCAATTTAGTGGCTCAAGGCTCAAAACAATGTGGTGTGAACAGTTTTGGGGGATATTATGCAGTTGGAGCTCAATGTGGAGGAGGCTGCAGACAGCTTACTGGAGAAGCTGCGTTGATGAGACCAAGTACAGTCTGGTGTAAAAGTGGACACTTATTTCTAAAAAATCCTAAATTTTGTGACATTGTTAAATGGTTTTAGTTTTAATTAGTACGAGCTAACATATTGTTAAATGCCAGCCTAAAGCAATTAATAACAATAGCAATTAATAGCAATTAATAAGTAAGTAATTTTGTTATGGATGTGGACACATGGAATGTTCATTTTTAGTGCCAAAATATGATTAAAAATCAAACCTTAACTTACCAAGCCCCCTGCATCTCGTTTTCCTTTCTTGATTTCTTGTTTTCTCTCTTCCTGTTTTTTCTTCGCCTCTTTCAATCTGAAAAATATTTCATAGCTTACGAAATTGCATCTGCTCTGTTCATCAGTTGGTTTATCTTGCATTCAAACACAGACTAAGCACTAAAGTAGACTTCTCATCCCATTGTAAACAGTGGATCACCCAGGATTTTAATTTGGGGGGGGACATCCGGGGGGTATGGAATACCCCGTGGGGGAGGGGGGTCTGGGAAATGTTCAAAAATTAGGTAGAGAAAACTGATTTTAATCTATCCTGAGACGTTATACAACCTAATGTTATAAAACATAGCTTTTTTTAAAATTGATAAACATGTTTTACTGGGTTAATAATTAAAATTTATTAATGTAAACTGAACCTCGAAGTCCGCCGTAGTTAACGTTTCCGACAAACACTGGCTGTGATTACAACCGAACCGCGTAACATCGGCCGCAATTGATGGTTGCGATGTTGCAATATTTTTTTACTAAAATAAGTTGACTAAGTGTGGTATAGCAAATACATACTAATAACTTTGATGAGTGAGATGAGTAGAACACTACACTTTTTTGTCAGCTTATTGCTGATCAATAATTATGAAATACAACCCCAAAAGCTTCCACCAACCACTACAATACAGGAAAAAATAACATGTCCAATCTTAGCTGATTGTCTTCAGCTGTTCCATAAGGATGACAAATCTACTAAGGGAGTATGTTTTATCTATGATTAAAATCCTGACTTATGATGTACATTTTTTATATTTTTCGTTTGTAAACATATAAAGTCAATTTATTTCAGTTGTGATGTTATGCAAAAAAATTACAAGTGACATAAAAATGGGGAAAAGATGAAAAACCAACTTTTTAAATTCTCATTAATTTGACTCATTCATTCAATATTAATATTTCACTCAGCATTTCGGCAATAAAATAAGCAGCATAGGCATCTACATAGATATAATTTTATCTTATGTAAATCCATTTTGTAAAAAGTCGATGGTAGACAAGATAGTAACAGTCTGTGATGTAAGTTGAAGTATTACTGTACTTAAAAATAAATGCGCTATCAAAATTAATCACGATTATAAGTTATAATATGGAACAGTGAAGTAAATTAAACTTACTTTTCTTTTATTATCCTCTGCTGTTCTTTTTGCCACAGAGCTTTAAAGTCCGAGCAAAAGGGGGCCCAAAGAGGAAAGAAGTCTTTTGGAGCGACTTCTTCTTCTTTGATACCTCCCTTTGGCTGGAACTGGTAAAACTTCAGAAGAGAATGGAACCTGAAATATTTTTTTTTATTTGTAAAAATAAAAATAAAATACTTTAATAGGCTGACAAGAATAGTGTCAAAAAATACTGATAAACGATCGCTTCTAATCGCACAAAGATATCAAAACAATAACAATGTTTATTATTATTTTAGACAAAATGTATAATATGGTAAATCATAAAAAAGAATGTATATTTGTAGGCATAATTCCTTTGGTAATCAGATTTGTTTTAGAACGCAATTTTTGACTGCTCTCTGATATGTCATGATTGTAGACTGCACAGAAATTGTTCATAGCATAATTTAGGTTACTTACTTTCTTTTACACTCTTCACAGTTTTCAAACTCTTCTGCTAACTGCTTTCTGGCTGTAAAATAATAATAAGAAATTAAATAAAAAATGAGTACTATTAAGTATATAAATATATACTTACATTCCATATTAGTTAAGTTGTAATATGCTGCATGCTATTGTTATACTTATTGCAATATATTTTAGATGTGCAAACAATTGAAATCAAGTTTTCAAAACTATTGTTTATATTCTTAAAATATTGTTGATAATCGATTACATTTTTAATTGGTTAAACTTTTTATGTTGTTGTTGATATCTAATTTGCATCTTTTCCAATTCATGAATACATAAACTTTTCCAATAAAGGTGAAAATAATCTGTTCCTTGAACTTACCTGAATCTAAGAATGACTCCATTTTGTCCTTGAAGGTTTGTACATTCTCTTCTTGGGATTTTGAAATAACAACATCCATTTTCTTCTGGCATCCTGAAAATGAATCATTGTTTTTTAAAGATTTAAGAAGAAGAGACATAAAAATCAACATACTCTATCAACTAACTATGTGTGAATTTCAAATTATATTTAAAATCCGAAAATGAAGTATTTTTCAACAAAGTTATTTAAACTTTACAGTAGCCTACGCATAATACAACATTGATTCATAGTAAACTGTTGTAGGTTATATGAGTGAATTTAACTCACATATTACATAGAATGTATAAAAAGTTGTAAGACATTTGATTATAAGCCTTACACCAAGCCGACACAAGAGTGTGTTTTAATGCAAAGATTAGCAAAGTGCCTTTAGCGCTAGGACAAAAAAAACTATCATCAGCTCTTGTCAGAAAACATTTGAAAATCCCAAACGTAATATCGAACCTCAGAACACTGCAAAACTTCACAGAACTAATATTACTTTGTCTCAATTTGTTAATATTTTACCATTTAATTCAGCCTCAATGTCCACAAGCTGTTTCTCAACCTCGTCAAACTTAACGGACGAAGCCTTTTCAATATCACTTGGTTCAGGTACTGGCAGTTTGGCATCAGTTGCTGCAACGTCTCCGCATTTCCTCATGTAGGTCACCACAATAAAGTTTAACAATGTCATGGAGTTGTCTGGAAAAAAAACAAAATCAGGAAGGCGAAACAAAAATAAATAAATATTGTGTGACTACACGTCATGTATATGCTGTGTATGTCGTCCTGTTGGCCTTCGTTTCGACATCTAATAACGTCTAATATCTTGTTTGGATTGATACAATTGGTTCCTGATCTACTGAATTCTAGATGTCTTAATCTTACTAAGTATGTTACACCATAAGATCCAAAAAAATGTATCATGACTAAAGGTGCTGGATATAATGGGTTTTCTGAACTACAGTACCGGTACCGGCTACGCAACCGAAACATCAGCCTCTAGTTTCACTCGTTCAATGACGCGGTCATCACCCAAAGAACTAGATTTGACAATCTTCCGTGGTCTTGGAAGCTTATCATCTAGATTACCCTGTATAATGCTTTCCAACAAAACGACTTGTCGAGATAAATTGTTTTTGCACACCTTGGTACAAAACCTCTCTTTGTTCCTAAAAAGACATCTGATCTGACTTTGATATTAGTGAAAGTAGCCTAGTTATGACAAAAGACAGTTACTACCAACCTTTACTCTTGACATCCTTCAGCTTAGCCAGAATCTCAAGGCCAAACCCATCGGCCTGACCTCGCTGCATATTTCCACCATTCATAAAGTTTCCAAGAGCCAAGATGATTCCCAGAACAGTTTTGAGGCTTTCTGACGACATCAGAAACTGTAATTGAATTAAAACATTTCTTACTTAATACAGTACCTATAGTGTACACAAAATTTGCAAACTTAAAAGTATAACCACCAAAAGATTATTACAGTACATCAAAAAGATGTTTTCTTTTCAACAAACTGTAAATTGTTGTAGATATTTCACTGTGAGAAATGTGTGATATTTGCCAGTCACAAGTCTCCTTGTGTTAAAGACTTTGATTTAATGATGAGTCGAACTTGAAACTCAAAACTACATACTAAGGTGAGATCTATCGGCTGACAGAAAATTAAAAAATAACCCCCACTGGTCATTGGAGGGATTTTAATTTGGACCTTTGGACAGTAGACCTACACAATAATTAATTACTGGACATGCTTTGCCAACATCAATGAAAAAACATGTTTTTTGTTTTTAATAAATTAATACTACACAATTCCTCAAAATTATGGAAAAATATTACAATTTCTAGGATTTAAAAAATAACATGAACCACTTACTTGACAAGTAGATTTGATGTTGTTAAGTTTGCTGCTGATCCCTGAAATGTTGTCAGAAAACTCAGTCTGGAACATGAAGCATGATATCCTCTCCGCAAAGTGAGGAATCTCAGACAGTTCTAGAAGGAACTGTTCTGGCTTGTCTAGTGGATGGTCGCTACCAGACGTTACATGAGCTCTCAACTGTTGCAACTCCTCATCTGTCGCTCTCTGCACAACATTAGCAAACATGAAGCATGAGATCAGCTCAGCAAAGTGAGGTATCTCAGACAGTTCTAGTAGGAACTGTTCTGGCTTGTCTAGTGGATGGTTGCTACCAGACGTTACATGAGCTCTTAACTGTTGCAGCTCCTCATCTGTCGCTCTCTGCACAACATTAGCAAACATAAAGCATGAGATCAGCTCCGCAAAGTGAGGTATCTCAGACAGTTCTTGTAAGAACTGTTCTGGCTTGTCTAGAGGATGGTCGCTACCAGACGTTACATGAGCTCTCAACTGTAGCAGCTCCTCATCTGTAGCTCTCTATACAACAATAGCAAACATGAAGCATGAGATCAGCTCAGCAAAGTGAGGTATCTCAGACAACTCTAGAAGGAACTGTTCTGGCTTGTCTAGTGGATGGTCGCTACCAGACGTTGTATGAGCTCTTAACTGTAGCAGCTCCTCATCTGTAGCTCTCTGTACAACATTAACAAACATGAAGCATGAGATCAGCTCAGCAAAGTGAGGTATCTCAGACAGTTCTAGAAGGAACTGTTCTGACTTGTCTAGTGGATGGTCACTACCAGACGTTACATGAGCTCTTAGCTGTAGCAGCTCCTCATCTGTTGCTCTCTGTACAACATTAACAAACATGAAGCATGAGATCAGCTCAGCATTATCTCACACAGCTCTAGTAGGAACTGCAAGAGAAATATACAGTAGGATTGTAAAACTTGAGGATATTTTTTAAACCTGTTGACTTTACAACAATGAGTCAACACAGCTTGATTATACAACAATAGGTTAATGGATGTTGATTTCACAACAACAGGTTGATTTTATAACCAGAGTACGACAAGAAGAATACAATTAGAGAACAGGCTGGTTTTGGAACTAGAGTACAACAATGGTTGATTTTTAGACAAGTGTAAAAAGAAGGTTGATGCAGATTGAGGTGTTGATGTTGTAACAAAAAACTAAAAGAGGTTGACTGTAGGATAGTAGCAATGTTAAGTGCATTAGTTTTAAAACTATTATTTTTAAAATTCAATCTCTGTGATGTTTTGAACTATGCTAGTTTACTTATGTTTAATAATACAAGCCTAGAACTTACCACTTCATAAATCTGCTGTAGTGCTTCAAGGCTCACCGTTGACGTGTCAAAGTTGTAAACCGCTGAAAAAAAATATGGTTATACTATCCAATACAAGTTTTGTAAAAGGCAATAATTTATTTTATTAGAAAACCACTCCAAAAGTAGTCAAGAAGTTAGTGAGGTTTTCTTCAAATCAGACCTGCTTTAGTAATTGGGCCCAGGGGGCAAGAGGTTTAAGATTGGAGGCACAAGGGAGAAAAAAATTTCCTTACAAGGAATGGACGCCAATATCTCTCCGACCCATTGCGTGTCTTGTGCAAACCGCGTGCCTGTTTCAAATCTGAGAGCTGCAGGTACAATAGATTGATGCCAGAACAATTTGGTACTTGTCACTGGTGTAGGTAATCAATGACAAGATATATTCCAATGAGGACAACAGGCTAACAGAAACAGAGTTTGGGCACTAGACTAGAAAGCGTTAATGGCTAAACATCTTAAGGAATAAATAAAAAAATAGTTAATTCAAGAAAAAAAATATTGTTTTCAATCCCAACTAAGTTATTATTCCTTCCCACACACATCAATATAGTCAACAGACTAATAAAACACACACTGAAATATCTATTACACAAAAACTTGGTTTTGACTTACCATTCTCGATTTCAGAGAAATCTAGATGAAGACTCTGAGCTAAAATGCCAACATTTTGTGAACGTTTGCTGTCCAGAATTTTCTTCACCTATAAAAATTCAAGTATTTACTACAATGACTATTTTATCCACCGTAGGATTTACATGCTTTCATCACAATCATGACTTGAAACAACGATTGACTTTAACTACAATTATGGATCAATTGTCACTGAAAACGTTTCAGGATACTTTGAAGAAAACTACTTCATAATTCACTATTATCAAAACAAGTAGAAACACGGAATACACAACTTGTAATGGACCTCTTGTATTTATCAAACAAATTCGTTGTTTTTCTGGTTAGTGATATTTACATTTTTTAGGAAATAAGCCACACAAAACTTACTGACTTCAATAAACATTTTTTATCTACAAAAATCCTAAGCTTTTGGAATACAGATGAATGACTTTTGTTGTATAGACTAATTGAAATATTTAGTAGTTTTTTTAAAAAAGCTCACTAGCCAAAATCTGTGTAACGGTAAATTAATATTGTATGAATAATGTGTAAATGATAAAGTTTTTAAGGAGAAAACTTAGTATAATTTGATGTATATATTTGCCAACATTTCAACCTAGGGAACACAACTTTATTCATAAGTACCTACATGAAAACAAAATAAAAATTCAACCACTAAAGAAACGTTTTCAATTTTTGAAATATTGAATAGGTATCAATATTGTCTCACTTTTTATGAATCTGGAAGCTAGTACATAATACACTCGTTATATATTAAACTACCACAGAGGTGATAAGCTGATTTACCTGAGCTTTGACGGGTTTTGCGACAACCTTCTTGGTACTTTTTTTGTCAACCACTTGCCGGGAAAAAAGCTGAGCAAACTCATCGATGTTCTCAACTTTGACCTCTTCCAATTCCCCCCAGAGTGGTATACTAAACAAACAAAGAAACAAAACACTTTAGATCTCTTGACAAAGTAAAATAAAGTTACACTCAATCCATACAACAAATGCATACAGTATTTATTTTTGTTCAAGACCAGTGCCTTTAGTTCTCTTTGGTACTGTAGGTGGGTCGCAGTCAAGTTGGCACCATGACAGATTGGCACCATGGTGTTTTAGCACCTGGCGTCATATTGGAACCTCATTGAAATGAAGCCCTGAAATATCACTCCCCGTCAGCTTGTCACCACGACAGATTGGCACCACCCCTTTCTCGGGGTTCCAATCTGTCGTTTACCGCACACATCTGATTGTCACCTCTAGGAGAGGGGTGCCAATCTGATGTGGTGCCAATCTGTCGTGGTGACAATTAGACGAGTACCCCTATAGGTCTGTACATATCTACAGCACAAACTCATGGAGCCCAATATATAGGTTGTCACACCTAAGATGTTCTAAAATAGTTTAAAACACATACGAGACACAAAAATTTAAAAACATACTGTAGAGCCATAGATCATAATAAATTTTTTTTCAAAATGTTTGTTTATATTCATGTTTTGTGCATGTGTTTTGAAGACTTCCTGGTGACCTCTTAGGAGTGACAATCTCACTTTTAGGGCTTGATAATGACACCTTAACTTAAAAGTGTCAAAACAGGTTGCCATTCAGTTAACCAAGGATTTCATTGGTAACAAGGTATTTAACCTCTTGTGTAGGAAATTGTTGAGTAATTCGGAAGGCAACACCTCAAAAATGTAAATGTACTCAATTATGCTTTAAGCTTCTGTGCAAATACAGCTAGTATATTTAGCCAACCAATTGAAATATAAAAGTCTTCTTTTGGACCGCAAAAGATTATCAGCTACATGGCTTCCCATAAAAAATACACAAGGACTCTGAGGGCGTAGATAATCCAACAGCACAGTCGGAGCATAGGACTAGGACTATTGATTAGTTTTTCCTTTTGTTCCACATTTTTGTATTATTTTTTTACCTTTTACTACTCTGTGGGGACTGGTCTTCAGTCTCCGTGGCCTTAGCAGAAGGAGGAACTACCACCCTCGTCCAATAGAGCGGCTTCATTGACACAGGGGGTATCACAGGCTGCTTCCTGAACGCTATAAAATAGTAGATGTTGAATTTTACATTCAATAAAAATATAGGCCTACCTATTGTAGAGATGTTTTTAGAATTTTTAGTCTAAAAATAGGAAGAGGATAAGCTTAGATTTCCTGTTTTAAATTTGTTTCACAAACAATAAATTAAGGTATTGCCCAGAACAAATGTAAGGAGGGGAAACAAAGTTAAATCTCCTGAAAAATCAAACCTAGACTCCTAAACATAAGAGGGTTGAAATTAGGGCTTATAAGAAAGTTCTGTTGAGATAGCTAATGGTATTTAAATGATTAAAACTAAAGATATTTTTTTATAAAATAAAGAACAGCAAAAAGGTAATTTTATTTTGCAGCTCAGTTATTAATTTAAACTGTATACATGACTAATATACTCAACTTTATAACTTTGATACATTCTTACATTCTAAAGTAACCCCATATGGTGCAGTGCAAACATAGATCTACAATGAATGGAATTAGTAAGAAATTCTTATGGAATACGTATTGAGTGTAAATCTTTTGTGGTTTTAATGTCAATATATTATCGTTTTTGTTTCCACAATGAATTATTCTGATAAACTTGATGTAGGAGAACAAAAAAGTGTTTTTGTCTATAAGAAACCTATGATTTTGTTCTGCTTGGATGAAAATTTTCCATTCATGTAGGTATTACAACATAATGTAGATTCCATAATTTCAATACTATCAGATTAGATGAGGAAATGATGGGTGTTGAAGGAATGGAGAAGAAACAAAAACAAACACCCAAGATCATCAGTATTACTTTACAATTTTAATATTAATAAATGATAAAAGAACTTGACTGTTTTTTTCTCCCTTATCTTCTTACCTATAAACAAGCAGTTATAATGTAATCCAAAATTTCTCTCTGTGCCTGTACATTGAAAAAAATACTGGGTTAAGTTCTTTTAATTTCTGAGCAACCAATGTACAAAACAAACGTAATGTGGGTACTAAGTTGTTGGTAATCTAAATGGAATGGTAAAAAAATGTAAAAAAAGTTAAATCTTTTTTGATGAAAAAAGGATAAAAACAGATTTTGGGGGACTACAAATCTTAGAATAGATGTTGGTTCACACATCTGACAAATATTTGGAAAATTTTTGCAAGAGTTGGTTTGCGGAACATTATATTTTATATACATGTAAAACAATGAATAGACAGAGTGTCATTGCTACCTAGGGACCCCAAAAAGATAATATTACAAAGGTCCCAGATCTAAGACTTAACATAATGACTAAAGCAGTTTTAAAACAAAATAAATACTTTTTTGTCCCATTACAGAGAGATTTATTTTTATGGTTCATGCAGTTCACTTTTGAATACTGCGAAAAGACTTTCTATTATAAAATCTAAACCATATTTTGATGTATATGTTTTAGTTTGTTTAAGTTTGCTCATGTTGATTAAATCTCTTTCATTGGAATAGTTTCTTCTTGTAAAAAGTGTGTTAATTTATTCCCATGTGTTCCCATGCAATCTTCGTCCTTTCTCAATTGATGAAAAAACAAAAAATGAATCGTGCTGTGATGTCTACTTCTACAACATCAATATTTTATATGAGAATTGTAAACACAGTTTATTGATTCAACCTTCCAAACCAGATGTTTCAAATTCCAGGCGTAATATCGGTTTATTTAGTTTACATGAATCTTCGTTTACTGAACAATGATGGAATGGAAATCATCTTACTCATTGGAAGGAATCCATTTGTTGTCCAAGTTTGAACCTGTTCCATTGGTTTGTCTGAATAAAAATTATTTTAAGTTAAATATTAAATTAAAATATTTGATTATTAAGTATAAAAAATAAATACTAAGTTTACCATAAATTAAAATACAAAAAAAATATATTAAATACTACCATGTATAAAACGTTTGTACTTACAACTTATAAATTAGTAAAAAAACACTATTTCAATTTTTTTTTAGGAAATCATACTTGAAGAGTGATTTGAGTTATTTCTGAAAAAGGTTTATTATTAAAAGGTTTATTGTTCATTTGTTTTTTGTGCATTTTATTTATTGTATTTTAATATAGACTAGCCAAAATTTAAGCAATTTCATTTACAAGTTTTAACTGTTAAACCTAAATTGCCATAAGTATTTTAAATCTTTTTCCCAGTATCTAATGCTACTCTATAAATTTGCAAATTCAAAATGTAAATATAAAAAATATAAATGTAAATATGTAAATATACTATAACTTGAAACAGATGATCATTACTTACTTGCCCGTTGAGCGTTCCACCCTCCAACTGGTGGAGCAGGGAATGGAGCTGGAGAGGATGGAGGAACCATTCCCGGTGCAGGAGGGGGAGGGGGAGCTCCAGAGGATATTGCAAGAGGAGGAGGAGGAGGTACACCGGAACATGGAGGTGGGGGTGGCGGTGGAGGACTAGAACCTGGAATAGGAGGAGGGGGAGGGATTCCACCACTCATTGGAGGTGGTGGTGGTGGAGGAGGACCTGAACCTGGAATAGGGGGCGGTGGTGGAATTCCATCACATATAGGAGGAGGAGGAGGAGGTGGTGGTGGTGGAATATTACTGCAAATAGGAGGAGGGGGTGGTGGTGGAGGGGGTGCTGTAGAAACAGGAATAGGTGGAGGGGGAGGAATGTTTGTTTCATCACTTGGTTCTACTGGTGGAGGAGGAGGAGGGGGAGGTGGAATAAAACTAGAAGCTGGAGTAGCAGAAGATATACTAACTGGTATGGAAGGAAGAGAGGCAGGTTCAGTAAATTCTATAGATTTTGAATCAGATGTTTCTAATCTATCCAAATCACTAATAACTTTTTCAATGTTTGCACAAGAAACATTTTCGATTGTCTCATTATCATTAGATTTACTATCAATGGGTTTTTCTGCTGTTTTGGGAGATGCAAGGGTGATGGAAACTGTGGAAGGAGAAATAGGAACTGATCCTTCTCTTCGGTCAGGTTCTACTCGCTCTGTGATTAAGATGGATGTGAATTTCCCTTCTGAGTTTTGATCTTTGCTGGGTGAAATGACTGTTTCCAGACGACTGTTGTAGTGATGCCCATTCTGCACTCGTCCATTTACCACCGGCTTTTCTTTTGTCGGCGACTCAAAATCTGCTTTCACGCCTTCAACTAATGACTGAAAAAGGGGTTGTGTAAGATCAATTTTGTATTTTAATTTTAATGTATCCTACTATTAGAAAATAACATTTCTGCTAGAGAATCAAAAATCATAAACTCAGCTGGATATTTTCTAACCAAATTTTCCATGTTTCTAAAAAAATTTATAAATTTAAAGTTCTAATCTACCTGAATATCAGCCAGTGTCTTGCTTCTCTCGTTCTCTTGCACGATTCTCTCAAGTTCATCAATCCTCTGCTTCTGATCTTGCACAGTTCTCGCCAGCTCGGTGATGATGTTCTTCTCGCTGTCGTTGTGTTTCTGCGAATTTGTAGTCACCACCTCCGTGTGTGACCAATAGTAGACTAGATCTGGCTGGTAAAAAAAACACCAAATGGATTATCCAATGAAATATCAATGCTATTGCTAACTGAAAAATAGGAATTATTTTTTTTAGATATGAACAGACACATTTAAAAACATTTTTTCGGAAAAATAAATGCGGAGTAGGTGTAAAGGATAACTTGATAAATCTACTACCTTATAATTTTATAAGCTGAATATAGTAAATTATAAAGCAAAATGATCAATATTTAAAATATCTCTCTCAAAATTCAACTTGCGGTTTTCCGATCAACTATTCCTAGCAATTAGTCAAGGATTCTAGCCACTTTATACTTGGCTACAGTATTAATAGAAGAAATCTGTTACAAAATCAATTGTTCTATTGGCTAATAGATTTTAATTTCAAAATAACCCATCCAATGCCTATTTTTTCAAAAATATGTTGACCCATCAAGGAAATACTAACTACAGTCTTTCCTAGAGAACATTTCTTTTCTGACGTACCACATCACAAGGAAAAAATATTTTGCGTACAGCTTAGCCACTTGGAAGTATACTTATAGATGGAATATGTTATTTATTATTTTTCAACCAATGTAACCCATTTTCCAACCATAACTATTAAATTTTTTCGGGTTTGTTACATTTTATGATTTATACATAAGTGAGGCACCAAGTTTTAATTCCACTCATATTACTTGAGTACTATTTATCACTTATTTTTTACTATGTTATACAACAAAATTATGTCATTTTTGTTCTAACTTCTTGTTGAATATACACAGTTGCCAATGGGCCGTAAGCTATTGCTGACGCACCAGCCCAAACAACCCCGACTTGAAATATTCGTAGAACTTCACCTTGTGCAATTACAGTGGTCTTTGTGTACGATTAGTGGTACCAACGTGTACCACAGAAAGGTAAACAGGTGAGCTATAACCTAATATTTTTTCTTTATTTGAAATCACTCAACTGCCAAGTACCTACCCGAAACAGCGTCTCTGTCTGAGGAACATCTTTGTCAGGTAGTTGGCGCAGAACACCGGCTGCCAGCAGGTGAGTGCAGAACTGCGCGGCAAGCAACTTGAAGTCCTGCGACTTGAGCACTCCACGCAAGTGGTTGTCTTCACTGAACGCAGATACCAGCCAGTTGATCAGCATCTGGCCTGTGAACAGAGTTGATAAGATTTATCAATAAAATAAACAGATTGGTTGTGAACAAGCGAGTACCAACAGTAAATAAGTCAGGTATGTTATGGTTTATCACACTCAATTTGTAAGCAATCAGCATTAGCACTTAACTTCAAGGTTATTCATAAAACCGTTCTGGAACTCAGGTATTACTAAGTAAAACTATAATTATTATATAAAATGATTTAAATAAAATTTCAAAATTATGACATTTTATTTATTCAAAGTGGTTGATAAAATATACAAAATTTTCTTCTCATACAAGTACATAAACGTACATATATTTAAAAAATGAATCATACATAAATATAAGTTATACATGTATGCAGACAAGAGGAATTAAAAAATATTTTGGAAAATAAAGTAGTCTAAAAAGAAATCATGGATAAATTTAGAAATTTTATCCTTTATTAGCATGATACAGTGTAGTTAATTTTGCAATGTTATCCTTCAGTTTTTAATTTGGGATAAACCCAAACAAAAATACAGGAAGGTGTATTTCTTTAAATGTCTGTATATAATTATAAATAGAGTATGACATATCTGAGCATAAAAAGGAATAACAACTGATTTGAATATACAAGAAATTGCAATTACAAACATGTCTATTTAATTTTATAAACTGGAAAGTAATTTCTATTACACTTAGTCATAACAAAGGTTATTAATTTTATATTTGTTTCAGGCTGTTCCATATTTTTTATGCAAGAATTTTACAAAACTCAACTCAACATAATTTTGTTCAAAGGTTTATTGCGGACATTTTCCATCACGAATGTAAAAAAAAAAAAAACAATACACAACGTTTCGGGATCTGGAATCTGATCCCGTCTTCAGGTGAATATATATATATAGGAGGAGGAGGAGGTGGTGGTGGTGGAATATTACTGCAAATAGGAGGAGGGGGTGGTGGTGGAGGGGAGACCCACCAAATTCATACAACAACATACTGCTGTGGAAGCAATAGGGGTATATGTGTCTCGTTTTTGTAACATAATTATTTGTATGTAGATATTGAGAATCGTAATATTTAGTTTCATAAAAATTACAAGACATGAAAATTTATATATAATTTGAATAATATTTAGGCCTACTATGTAAGATGGTGGTTCATATTACATTCTTTAAAAAAAGTTTACACATTCTTAACATGATAATAATATATGTGAAAAGAACAAAACAATTTTTACTAAAGTCCCTGTCAAGAAACATTAAATTTTTGACTTACTCTCAGTTTTTTTTTTTTTTTTTCATTTTGTATTATTATTTATTTAAAGCAGCTACTCTTCATTATGAGAAATTGTCAATCTACCTAAAAAAAAGTACCGTACCTAAAAAGATATAACATTTTTAAAAATGTTAATATTTTCTTTTAATTCTGTCACAGGAAAATATGAATATGACTGCCCGAGCGATTTACGTAATTCATTTATTTGAAATGTATTAGAAAATAGTTATAAAATTTAGATGTATCCAAATTCTATAGCTTGTTTCAATTTTTATTTATTTTAGTTGGCATGCTCATGGGCTAATGTTTTTGAGATGTGTTTGAGGCAAAAGAAAGAATTTTCATGAAGTAATCTCATCTTTTTTTAACATTGTGATCAATAAATACAAATAAAACAGTAAAATATAATTTATATCCCACGTTTAAGATTTATCTCAGTAAAATACATGAAAATACCTAAACTTTAGGACATTTAATTGTTCAAATAACTATTACTCTTTCATAAATCAATTCAGTTTTACATGCTTGATAACTTACTTACCACTACAAAACAAAGCCAATCCCAACTGATCTAAGTAATTTAATTAGACAAATCATATGTTTACCGTGGAATGATTTCCAATCAGCTGGTACCGGCCAGGGGTCCTGCTCCTTCATGGTGAAACTTCCTACTGTCAGTTTGAGGTTAGGTTAGGTCCTCCTGCTCCTGTACTGCCTACGACCCGCCTACCCGCCAGCACCAGAACATCTGGTCCGACTTATCTCTTCGACGATAACAATGTTACATATTTGGTCCCGAATCCAGCGTGATAAACTGATAAACTTCATAGAGGACAGAGTCCTTTTTGTGAAATGCGTTTCGCGGCGTAAAAATTTCAGATTCGAATCAGTCCCAGAATGAAACTTAATATTTTATGAGTCAGGCAACCATATTTATTAGACAAATGGTTTAGGTAGTACCTAGTACTCAAAGGCAAAACCATCGACATATAAAACTAACTAGTAACATCGACATATAAACTAATGTTAGTTTTATACATTGATGGGCAAAATACGTCAACTTACATAATGATTGTAATATATGCAAAAGCTCCAATGATATCCTGGTATTCTGCTTTCTCTTTCTAATCAAAGTAGGTAACGTTTAGTATAAGCTTCCAGATTAGAAATACGCGATGCTGTGTCGTTTTGAAGATAACACAGACACTATTAACAACGACCAACGCAGTGATTCAAAATAATAAATTGAACATTAAATTCATACAACTAACGTGATCAATGCCTAACACATTAAAGTTTGTAAACTCTTTAAACATAAATTAAGTTCAAACCTTTTCGAAAAATGGTTTACCAGATTGATTATTTGGTACAAAAAATGGCAACCACCATTTTATCAAAATTACGTCCTGATCTGTCAAATTCCTGTGGTTGATGTTTAAAAGTGAATCTATACATAATAGCATGTTCATACAGACAAAGTTAGCACGCCATAACATACTGTATCGTATTACAACAATACTAAAATGTTTGATCAATTCGTATACAAAAGCGATGGAAGGACCGCAAGTAATTTAATGCACAGAATCGAGGTGTGAAAACAAATAAACTAATCGAAACCGTATGTTACATAAGATGAACGTGATTCACAACCGAATGGGTTAGGTAAGCTGACCAGAACTCCTTGGCTAGCCCCGCCCATGGCACCCGACCTGTACATCAGCTGTTCAATTGTTGCCTGTAAATCAGCTGTTCAATTGTTGCTAGTAAACAATTTAGTTGGCTTAGCTTAAGCACCAGCATGACTTAAACATTTAGAGTGAACCTTTGACTACTCATGTTAAAGTTGTCGCCAGTTTTAGATTTAATTCCCTTGCCACAGCAAACCTGCAGACTAAGCGATCTTCCAAGTCTGATTAGATTTGTTTAAAGTTCCCTTAAAAGTGTCCGATTTATTCCGTATTTAAAATAGCATTAGGTTTCAAGGGTACCTAGGTTTGCTGCTACATGGAAAGAAAAAAGATAAGTCAAGTCTTCCCTTTGTACAATCTGACGCCTGTTTTATGTCCTGATTGAGTTAGTGATGTTGATTGAATGTTTTTCACTGTCGTGGTGTATTTTATAGTGTGATTCACTGATTATAATTCCACTAAATTGAATGGCATCGCCAACCCAACCTTAAAATGAAGGTGTTATAAAAATTTGTGAATATGAATACAGATATAGACTATCTCCAAATTATTTGTAAACACAATGATAAGTACACCATTTTGCATAATTAGTTGCAATCCATTTTTATAGTTTTCCGACTTATGCTCGTCCTTAGTATAGACAATATGGGCCTAATTAATTCTTACATATTCCCCGTCACGTAGACTCAATCAAATTTCAAACAATTGACGTTTGATAGTCCAAGTAGACGTCTCCTGATATAAAATCTGAAGTATTTTGAAGGGCGATCGATGTCCGGTTTCTGTCTCATTTTGGGTAGACCAATTTGTGTTTTGTCTCGGATTGTAAAACAATATGCAAGAAATAATTTACATATAGATCGTTTTATTTGGTCAAAAAGTTTTAAAATTGGTTTAATGAAAATTAACTTATAGACTAGACAAATAATTAAACATTTATAGCCAATATTCGTAACTTATCGCTATACAAATTATTGTCGCTATTATTGTCTCTGCCAATAGTAAACAATTAATGGGTGGTTGGAAAGCCATCGATCTCTATTATTATTACAGTAATAATTACAACTGTAGTAATAATAGAGATCGATGTGGAAAGCTCATTCCATGTAGATTTTGCAAATAATTATCAACGTTGATTATTTATGGTAATAGGGTTTCTAATATGCATAATCTGACCTTATGGAAAATGTGTTAATTGAGCGGAGCGAGCGAAGCTCTTATACGTCGACTTTTATGCATTTCGTAATACGCAAACTCCTCCTAGACGGCTGAATCAATCGTTTTCAAATTTTGCATGGTGATAAAGACCATATCGGTGAGTGCCAACATCTATATGGCGTTAAAAAAGTCTCTCAGGAATCCGCCCCACTGGGTCTCAAAGTTTCAATGTAATCCTTATGGAAGCAGTATTTGACACATAAACAAAGACATATGATCAGCTGTTGACTTTTGAATGCAGTAGATAAATAAATAGCTGTTAGCATTATTCCACAGATATTAGAACATAAACGGTGGTATGGATCATAAATATAATCAAATGACGACACGAGCTTGATGTCCGTGACGTAGGAAGTGGTGAAGGAAGTAGTAAAGGCGAGCAGTCTGGAGTGTGGGAACTGTTTATGACAATTAGATTAAGGTATCTGCATCCTAAAATGCTATTGGAAGGGAAGGAACAGCTCCGCGACGTAGGAAGTGGTGAAGGAAGTAGTAAAGGCGAGCTGTTCGGGGTATGGGATCTGTTTATGACCATTAGATTAAAGGTTTTGCAATCCGAAAATGCTATGGGAAGGGAGGAAAACAGGTCCGCGACCTAGGAAGTGGTAAAGGAAATAGTCAATGCGAGCTGTCTGGAGTGTGGAAACTGTTTATGACCATTAGATTATGGTATCTACAATCCTAAAATGCTATGGGATGGGAGGAAAACAGGTCCGCGATGTACGAAGTGGTGAAGGAAGTAGTCAAGGCGAGTTGTCCGGAGTGTTGGAACTGTTTATGACAATTAGATTAAGGTATCTGCAATCCTAAAATGCTATTGGAAGGGAAGGAAACAGGTCCGCGACGTAGGAAGTGGTGAAGGAAGTAGTAAAGGTGAGCTGTTCGGGGTATGGGATCTGTTTATGACCATTAGATTAAGGTATTTGCATTCTAATAATGCTAAGGGAAGGAAGGTAAACAGGTCCGTGACGTAGGAAGTGATGAATTAAGCAGTAAAGGCGAGTTTTTCGGAGTGTGGGAAATGTTTATGACGATTAGATTAAGGTATCTTATTGGTATTTACAATCTTAAAATTCTATGGGAAGAGAGGGAAACAGGTCTGCGACGTAAGAAGAGGTGAAGGAAGTAGTAAGGTGAGCAGTGTGGAGTTTGGGAACTGGAAACCGTTTGTAGCAGTTAGATTAATGTATCTGCAATGCTGATATGCTATGAGAAGGGATGGAAGCAAGGCCACGACATAGAAAATGGTGAAAGAAGTAGTAAAGGCTAGCAGTGCGGAATGTGGGCAATGTTTGTGGCAATTAGATTAACGTATCTAAAATACTAAAATGCTATGGAAAGTAATGAAAACAGGTCCACGATGTAGGAAGTGGCTTAGGAAGTAGTAAAGTATGAACATATTGTGAGAACCGTCTGTGGCAGTTAGATTAATGTATCTTCAATCCTAAAATGCTATGAGAAGGGAAGGAAACAGGCCCCACGACGTAGGAAGTAGTGAAGGAAGTAGTAAAAGCTGGCAGTGCAGAGTGAGGGAACCGTTTGGGCAGTTAGATAAATGTATCTAATACTTAAATGCTATGAGAAGGGATGGAAACAGGTCTATGACGTAGGAAATGGTGAAGGAAGTAGTAAGGCTAGCAGTGCAGAGTGCGGGAAGTGTATTTGGCAATTACATTAATGTATCTGCAATCCTAAAATGCTATGGGAAGAGAGGGAAACAGGTCCACGACGTAGGGGATGGTGAAGAAAGTAGTAAAGGCGGGCAGTGTTGAGTGTGGGAATGGATTAATGTATCTGCAATGCTAAAATGCTATGGGAAGAGACTGTAGACTTTAGGTTAAAATTATTATGAAGCACGAATCGTTACATATTTCGATGCGTATTCAATAGTTTACAATAGAAATTTACAACTGAGTTTACAACAGCTGAGTTTTACTCCATAGAGGCTAAAAACGAATTTTATCCCCTAAAGAGTAAAAATGCTACTTTAGACCCGCAAAGCATGACGACTGTTTTTACTGCAGTATGATAAAAACAATATAATATGAACCCTTGATGACTCCGCTCAATTTTGTGGATGCCTCTGCGAACGCCACCTAGTAATTGAACAGCTGATTGTTGTATTGTTACTTCCTTGATTTCTTTGCTTACATTTTGTTGTTTGCAGTTTGCATTTGTGAAATCATATCATGTACAATTTTGTTCTTTTGCTAGCAACAATAAATAAGTAGGAAATGTTAAGACGCACTGTAGAAAAGATCTACAAGAGAGCAATGTATAAGTTTAATCAAAGAATACTGTAGTTACATTATGGTAGGGTGTGGTATGTTGCAATACCATTGACTCACCAAGTTGACTAGAGTGTAGGACAACAATGCAAAGTTTAAGCCCACCGTATCCTCTGACCTTCGCTTAAATTATTACTTGTTTTAATCAGTAAATTTATGCGAAATCTCGCCCTTTACATTTTGTGCATTAAACATAACCACAAGCAATGCAAATCTATATTTATTCAATCTAGATTTTAAATTTATATTTAATAAAAAAAATCTCCATTATTATAAAATGTATTTCATGTAAATCATTGAACACTTCCAGTCTATTGTTGGCTATGACCACTAGATTTAACTGTAATTTAATCAGGCTGTAATTTAATAAAATAATGCTGTGTTTTTAAAAATTCAGTACCTTACGTTGCACCCCTATCCAGAAATCAATATATTAAAATAACAATTATTAATAACACTTTAAGAACTTTGTTTACAATCAAGAATAAAATTTATAATCACAAAGGTTATTTAATTTGTTTTAAGATATCACTCACAAACTCAAAAACATAACTAAAACGAAAAAGTAGCACGAGCACGAGTCAAGTAAGATTGAATACTAGATAAATAAAATCTCCTTCAAAAACCAAGCAGAGATAACGCACGGCACAAGTGAGGTGGTTGTGCCGCCTGAAGTCGTAGGCGTTAAGCGTAGTCGTTGACTTTGGACCGCTTTGGACACGGCAAGACATTTTCCCATCATGTGAAGCTTGTTTTTGTTTTGAACCGCGTTTCATTTTAACACTTGGTTGACTTCATGTTGACTACACTATTCTACTAACATTTTATAAATTGTTACATGGTAATTTCACGATATTTCTTTGGTCAAGAAAACTACTAAAGTCACCAACAAAGGAGATCATTGCTGGGTACTGGACATAAAAAAACTAATGCACAAAGATGATTTGAATCAATTTTTCCAATCTGATACTATGTAAAGTTTGTTTTTATGTTCAATTTTTTTTTATTTTACGCAACTTTACAGCAACAGACCAAAAGAGCGCAAATCATTCGCAGGTTGTAATACCTGACATAAATTAGAAAATTCTCTAAAAAGGTTATTTTATTTATTTGGCCAAAATACCCCTAAAACGTATGAAATTTGCAACTAAATTATTTATTAGCAGACATATAACTGTTGTATGCTGACACCCTAATATATTCTTATTCAGTGCGTAGTTCTACTTTTTGTAAGCTGGGTTTGCAATGGGCATTCAGCATCTATTTTATTAACGCCTTCACAAACTTCTCAGCAAAGAGTAGCACAGATCAATATTGCAATAAAGTGGCCGACTTAAAGGCGCCGCCGAAAAGCAATGTTTGCAAAAGCCGTTTGGCATACTGCCTTGAAAATGATATTTTCACAGAGTAAACGTACATAAACTTTCTTTCTCTATGTAATTACGATGTGATTCTAGTGTCAAGCATTTTTCACTGAATGAGCTTCATTATTATCTGTTTCACATTATCCACCACACTGAGCTAGAGATACAACTGGACTGTATTGAGATACGTTTGCCACCATAGGGGTAAAGTACATTGGAACTAAGGAATGAATAGGGGATTGTGGAATTGTAGCCATGAGCCAATGAGCTAGTTGATTACTCTACTTGGTACCAACATAACAAAATGTTGCAGCGTTTCGATTTTCTAGCAGAGGTGCCGTGCCAGTGCTACCTCCAGTTATCTAAACCAACACTTATCTAAAACATAAACCCCAGCAAAAAATCTAACTAGAGTCATCCTACCTTCGAACTTCTCGTACAGCTGAAAGTCCAGTTTCTCCGGGATGAACTTCGGCCTCGATACCCTCTGTTCCAGAGTGGCCTTGTCCAAGGTGAGAGAAGCGACCTTCCGCAGAACATTGCTGTCCAAAGGGACGTCGCTGACGGACGAGTGCCGCCGGAGGTCATCCTTGCCTGTGGGAAAAGTACAGGTCAAACAGGGCATGGAGTAATTAAATAGTAATATTAATACTGCTGTGGGCTTTGGAAAAGTTTAAAAATATCCAAACTCTCGAATCTTTTTCTTCGGGGGATGCTCGCACCTTTGAATTCGCGGAGATAGTGGCAGATGTGTCTTGAATTTATTGTGTCTTGGCCCGAGGATGGATTGCAGCAATGCATCTGTAACGACCGTAACGACTGCCTCTGTTGTATAACTAGTTCAATGACGATTTCATCTCTCAAATGCCAAAAGCATCAGTCTTCTTTGAGGATGGAAGCTGGCCATCAAAGATTGTCAAACAATTCTAAATTTCGTTCTAAGATTCATGTCTCGTATTGAGTACATAGCTCACAACTTCTTTCAGCTAGTTTTGTACGTGTAATATAATATACAAGCTGCTATACCCGTGCTTTGCAACGAGAAGAAAATGTGACCTAGAGAGCTAAAGTGATTCTGATGTGTGGTTAAAACACGACAACTCTGTGATTTAGTTTGAAAATATAAACTGATTTAAAAGTGTAAACCTACTTACTTTCAAACCCCTACTTTTTATATCCAAAAGGTATGACAACATACCTTAGTGTAGCAATAACATAAATTGTTTCATATTGATGCTTCACGAATGACATGTTTTACCATAATTTATTCTTCAACTTTAGTCAAGCCTCTTTACATATTAGCCAAATGCCTCGTCATCTAATTAGTGACGCGCATGAATGGATTAACGAGATTCTCTCTGTCCCTATCTACTATCTAAGCGAAACCACTGCCGAGGGAACGGGCTTGGAAAAATCAGCGGGGAAAGAAGACCCTGTTGAGCTTGACTCTAGTCTGGCACTGTGAATGACATGTTTTACCATAATTTATTCTTCAACTTTAGTCAAGCCTCTTTACATATAGCTTACTATATAAATTACAAAATTAAACTTTGAGCAATACTTTACAAAACATATACAACCTTTCTTTAAAATCAAACATAACCCTCCTAAGTCTACATAAAGCGTCACAAACATCTGTTTCCAGTAAATAAACAAACACCACTTCATTATACTGACCAGCTGTTTCATTAACTAAATTAAATTAAATCATGTAAACTTTGGAAGCATGCCAGGCGTAGCCCTTTGGAAATCAGCCTGTGGGGCAGAGCCCTTAGGAAGTTCGTCCATATAAATACTTTTCGGCAAATCTACACACTCTAAGCTTCATTTTGATGTGCCATATGCCTATATTTTTATTTGGTAAATGGCCTTAACAGTTTACATAAAAATTGATTGTATCACTTTAATAATATAATAGATCGTCTTGATTTTTCTTCGTCAACCTAAGAGGGTGTCAACTGACTGACGTTTCCTTGCTGTGAAATGGTATCCTCGGTGGTTATTTAACCGCTGCTTTGCCATTAAGGAAAAACATCTGAGAGTAGATTTAATCTGAGCACAGAATATCTTTGTGGCTTATAACGTGGTTGACTCCAAAAATGAGTTAATTCAACGGCTTGTTTTTTTTATCTGACTCTGTTTTAAACTTTAATTTTTCTCGTTCAATGAACATGTTGAAAAGTTTTAAAGTGTTATTCAATTCATACAACAGTCTTTTAAATTATCTATAAGCTTTCAATCTTTCGGTTCATACTTTTAATGTCGAATTTATCTTTTGAATACCAATACATTCAAAAACTAACTCTCATCTGGGATGTATGTATCTGTCGTCAAAACTACGATAACGAATATTACGATCTATCCATAACTATCACCTATCACAGCTAGGAAAACATTTATTTTAATGTATTTACCAGATTTACTTTACTAAAAAAATTATGTTGAATTACAAAATTATCGATTTGTTTAATTGATATTTAAATACTCATTAGCATTTCAATCATTTTACCACCTTTATTTTATGGACAACTACAAGAATTAGGCCTATAAACACACACACATTACATTAGAGACATGGACAGTTACATTTTTATTTTTTAGTCTTTTAATTTTTCAATAGGACACAAGTACCGTAATTTATAAGAACAATAAAAAAATCAATTACCTCAAAACAAACTGAACCTTATCTCTTTTGACCAATAAACCGCAAAAAAAAAATTCAAACGTGTACGCGTTAAAATGTTCTCACTTTACGAGCACGTAAAACGTTCAGATTTGATTTATTGTTGGAGAAAAAAATCACCAAACGTATTGCAGATTCCAGAGGTCTCTTGAATTTGTACACAGACTGTACGGCACCCACTTCTTTTATCTCTGACTGTACCTGTAACTCATCGACGGTCACGGACACGCTACATAAATTTCTCACATTCTATTTTTAGACAAACTGAGAACATGAGAATGGAAGGAGAATTCAATTTTAGTAGGAAATTGAAGATATCAAGATTTCTTAAACAAACGTTTAAGGTATATTTTACAAAATATAAACGTTTTAACCAATGTAAATAAGTGTTTTGTTACGGGTAACTCGATAAAATAAGTAAATATCCTGGTTCTGACCCAAGTGCATCATGAAGATTACAACAACAATAACAAATTCTCCTCAAAGTATTCCCTTTCGCAAATATTCAAATTCACGTAAAAGAAAAAATCTTTTAAGCTCCTAATTTCACAACAAATTTTACATTTTTATGTTGTACTCGGTTATACCATGTAATCCAAAACTTGTTAGGGTAGCATTATTATATAGTCGGAAACTTATGACCTACTTTATTTTGGCATTTGGACATCAGGACATCGGGCTTTGATTCGTGCCTTTTATCAAGTTTTTAAGTATGCCTTTCTTGCACAATTTATTTAATCGTGATGCCACTTCATAGGAAACACTTTATAATTTATCATTACAGCATTGATAATAGTAATTGTTTTCCTGTAGCATTAATGAGTTATTTTTAAAATCTTGGTTTATTTTTTATTTTGAAGTACAAAGCTACAAGTACATATTAATTAAAGGTCATAAAGATAATTTAAAGTTTTTTTTTTGTTGTGAAAACATGTGACTTTTCACTTAGGTGGATATTGGAATTAAAACTAAAAACATATCTAGATGAATAACGTTCAGCAAATCGTGACTAAATTACAATTTTATTTCGTTCATATCTGTGAGACAATTAGGCTAAATTACCCAATATATTTTGTTATCTTCCAATGATTTTCAACGTTTCAGATTTAAAATCCCGCACCTCTTTCAGGCATAATTGCTGTGTATTGTATGTCAGGATGGCCTTCAGTTTTGCCCCCCCCCCTCATTATGTCCCCCCCTCCCCCCTCCGGACATCCCACAAAACGCTTCATCCTAACAACAACACGAAGAGAAACAAAGAAGAAACATAGGGAAATCTGTGATAATGTACCTTTTAATTGTCTAATTAAGAGGTTATTGTATTATGGGAATAGTTCCCCTACTTCCCAGTGTCAACGACCTAACAATCTATCCACCATGTCGAACTAATAAGTGAGAAGTAAAACTAAACATATTACTTTGTTTTTTATTGAAGTAAAGTTAAATAAACAAAACCGATTTGTTTTGATACAATGATACAATACAATGCTCTATATGATAAATTTATCATCTTAAAGTTTTAAATTTTATAACTGGTAGTTTTCGTATCTATGGACAGTAAATTTATTTTATTTTATTTATTTATTTACCTACGATGATATTTTTTTCGCGAATGTTTTCGATACAATTACATTGTTGGTAAACCTTGATATTTAATTTGTACGAACTCTTGCTATATTTTACCGTAAACATAATCCGCTTGTTGCCCACCATGATGTAAACAAAAGTATAAATTGCATTGATGAGTGTTGATGTTTTGGATCCTCACGGCTCACGGTAATGTTTTGTTTCAATATACTGTATATGCAAATGGCTTGTTAACAATTTTATCGCTGTTATCCAACTGTTATTCATCAAAAGATAGCTTTTCATATCACCCCAATAGCACTACCACAATTTCAGCAATGCATATGATTTGTTGCCCCTCTTAAACTTGTCAAAAATCTGGATAGAATGGCTGATCGAATTTACACACTTGATAACAATTTCAATGAGCCTTAGTATTGGTGTGATTCCTGTAACTTTATTTAATAAACGTGTTGAAAATTCAAAAAGTGTGAATAGATTATGGAACAAGTGTTATTAATTAATCAAATAGCTATTAATTTAATTTTGCGGTCGAAATTAGAACACACAAAACGCAGTGTAAAAAAGTGGGATACTTTAAGGAACGTCTTTTGTGATTAGGCCTACTGACACAATTGATGTTAGTAAAACATTGTAAAACTTTTAATGAAGTGGATTAACTACAACAAAAGTTAAATAAACAAACGGTGAATAAGTGTACAGTAATTTAGTCTCAGTGTTTTAAAAGTATTGTTAGAACTTTAATCCCACAACCAAAATATTCAATCAGCTGACCAACAATGACCGATCAGCTGATCAACAATATTTACCGGTCGATATGAGACACTGCTCGCTCAGTTTGGCCGGCGCCAACTCCACCTTCCTGTGACGGACTACGGTGAACTTTGACTCCTTCCTCTGAGGCTCCTCTTCCTCTAGACGGTCCAGGCTGTGCGTGTGCCTCTTGGAGGCCACTGGGGTGGATTCCTCGTCCTCACTCACCTCCATGGTCAATGTCACATCGTCCTCCTCCTTGACGCGACAGTCCGTACACTCCCGACCGTCCGAGTAGTCGCTGGTGATCGGCGTCACCTGGGGGTCCGTGAACACGCTGTCCGAACTGGAAGTCTCCTCCGGAGGAGTTTCTACGGTCGCGGTAGCGGCTGCCTGGGACTGCAGTTTCCCCACCTGTCTCCAGGAGTCTGTTACTATGACTGTCTGTTGCTGACCGGTTGGGCCGTTCCCCCCGCCCCCCGTGGTCACGGTCGGCTGCCGAAGGACCGGATCTTCCGCCGGCTTTTGTGTCTTCTCCGCCGCCCCCGCCCCCGCTCGAGCCACCTGATGCTTCACTAGGTCTTTCACCGGCGATTTCTTCGTTTTTCCCTTCTCTTTCTCCTCCTTCTTCTTCCCCTTCCCCTTGTCGCTTCCTTGTAGATTCCCCATCACTAGCGTTGACCTAGGTCACTGCTCGGAAGGTCGATATACGCACAAACTATCAGCTTACACGTTTGTTCTGATTTTAATATCCGTTGCAAATGGTTGCGGCTTTTAAACAAATTAAAAAATAAACTTGGCACGTTTTTCTAGCTTATTGTGTTACAAAATTCCACTCGGCATTTCATACTTAACAAATTTACTTCAATCGCGGGGTATATTTTTGCGGACTAACATACTAAGTAGGCCTATCAAGTTAATAACATACCGTCGTAAAATATTTTTGATTGAACTCTGATAGCAAAAGATACTCCTGCTATTAAATGCTAAATGGCTATACAACTAATTTTAACTTGGGGAAATTATGGAATTAATTGATGAGTTCATTGTTCGAGTCAAACTCACAAACATCCAAACAATGATTTACTTGAACTTTAATCTCACCGTACAAATACCCTTGATTTAAGACACACCCCAAAATTCACTGTTAATTTTAACCTATCACGCACTGCCTTTCATCACATCCTAAGTATTAACATGGAAAGACCTGTCGTTTCCATACAGGGTATAACCTTTGAGCGCACATAACCACAAAGTACGTCTAGCACGGTCTATGTTACGACATGACGACGTTATCTCGCCAGGGGGGCGAAGTCCACGGACAACTCACCTGACTGAGGAAGTCCGAACTGAAGGGCGCAGGCGTCCCGACGTCGTAGCGTCGTCTGAAACACACAGGGTGATCAATACCAGCTGGTGCCGTACAACCACCAACTCTAACCCCCTACCCCTTCAACCAACCACCACGTCAACCATCCATCAATCACCATTCATCGACCATGTTTATTAAATTGATTATCTCCTACGGATGTCCCTGAATTAGTTTTATGAGGACCTTTTGGTTTTTGCCTGTAACCTTTTGGATGTACTAGCCATTTTTGTTTTTTTGTTAAACAACGTAGTTTAAAGAACCACTGCTTCTATTTTCTGCCTTAGTTATTGTTACTGTGATAGTTTATGTGACAAAAATTATCACAGCTAATTGCTAGAGAATGAGTTTTTCAGCTTTTCTTGGATAAAAAGTCAGTTATTCATACTGGACAGAAATCAGTTATTTAACACTAGCTGTTTTGACAGAAATCAGTTATTTAAAAATTATCGCATTCTGTTGGTTGCTTTAACTATGATAAATTGTATTCTTACCTGGCTACATCATTACGGAAATGTAATAATGTAATGTCTAGTTCCATACATTGTCAATTTTAAGCATATTCCAATAAACAGTTGAGATAGGTAGATGAGCTAAGGTATCATGCAAAATGCATCGTCAATTTATAATCACGTAATATTTTAATAGTGAAATATTCTTATCTGATAGTTAGTTGTCGTTGGTTAATTAATATGAAATGTCATGAAACATAAAATATCATGTGAATAAAATATCTATATAATTAATACGCTACCGGTACATGAAACTTTGTCGGTTGAACTCCTCCGCCATTTCTTGACCGATTTTATCCATTGACGTCTCATTGGAAAGAGCGTGTCGCGTAGATTTGCAAACTGGCCTTACATTTTTGAAAAAGTCCCTTGGGCTCAGCCCCCAGTGGCTTTGAAAGTTCCCATGTTATCCTTATGAAGAACATAATTGTTTACATTTTGATCAGCTGTATAGTTTAATTGCTGTTATTTATTTTTCAATTCAACGAAACGCATTGAGTACATTTATTTACTATTTGAGTTTGTGTAAACATAACCCCCAAGACGGATCGTGTTAGTATGGTTGTGTCTTAAATTTGTGTATTTATCGTTGTTTTGTGTAGCTATGACGGATCGTATTAGCATGATCATAACTTAAATTTGTACATTTATCGTTGTTTTGTGTAGCTATAATTTGTTTATTTGTTGTTTTATTCTTTTAAATGCCTCCGACGCGACGACAACGAAACATAGACAGGAGGTGTAATCGTGATAACGACGCAGCTACAGAACAGTGGCGCGTGACAATCTCAACTATTAGGTTACAAATGCGCCCTAACACTACCCCAAAACGGCTTTTCGTTCTCAATTGGCCCTCTATCAATGACCTGTGTTGCATGTACAGCGAGGCATTTTGAGAAGGAGAAAACCGGCTGGAATGCTTTAGGTTTATCAATAACGAAGATAAACATGGTCAGAATTACACACTGGTAATCTTTGAGTTGACTCTTTTAAACTCATTGTATGTATGACTGTTATTCGTTTTGAAATAACTCCTGTAATACTTTGCAATTGATCGAATTCGAGCAACATGTACACTAGATATGATTTAATAAATCTAACTAAATGTGCACACCCTGGATAAATGAATTAAATAAAGAGAATTGTTATACAGTGATATTATAAAAAATGAGAATGATAAAATAGCAAATAAAACTGAAATAATATGCTTGAATATTTATATTATAATTTTGTACTTGAAAACTTATAACATTACTCCCAGAGGGTAAGGCGTGTGTGTTGTATGTGTGGCTATCCAACTGGATGTGTCCTGCCGTTGGGGAGTCGTGTCCATCCATTGGTGTGTGTAACTGGAGGTGTCCTGCAGCCGGGGCGTCGTGTCCATCCATTGGTGTGTGTAACTGGAGGTGTCCTGCAGCTGGGGCGTCGTGTCCATCCATTGGTGTGTGTAACTGGAGGTGTCCTGCCGCCGGGGCGTCGTGTCCATCCATTGGTGTGTGTAACTGGAGGTGTCCTGCCGCCGGGGCGTCGTGTCCATCCATTGGTGTGTGTAACTGGAGGTGTCCTGCAGCCGGGGCGTCGTGTCCATCCATTGGTGTGTGTAACTGGAGGTGTCCTGCAGCCGGGGCGTCGTGTCCATCCATTGGTGTGTGTAACTGGAGGTGTCCTGCCGCCGGGGCGTCGTGTCCATCCATTGGTGTGTGTAACTGGAGGTGTCCTGCAGCCGGGGCGTCGTGTCCATCCATTGGTGTGTGTAACTGGAGGTGTCCTGCAGCCGGGGCGTCGTGTCCATCCATTGGTGTGTGTAACTGGAGGTGTCCTGCCGCCGGGGCGTCGTGTCCATCCATTGGTGTGTGTAACTGGAGGTGTCCTGCCGCCGGGGCGTCGTGTCCATCCATTGGTGTGTGTAACTGGAGGTGTCCTGCAGCCGGGGCGTCGTGTCCATCCATTGGTGTGTGTAACTGGAGGTGTCCTGCCACCGGGGCGTCGTGTCCATCCATTGGTGTGTGTAACTGGAGGTGTCCTGCAGCCGGGGCGTCGTGTCCATCCATTGGTGTGTGTAACTGGAGGTGTCCTGCCGCCGGGGCGTCGTGTCCATACATTGGTGTGTGTAACTGGAGGTGTCCTGCCGCCGGGGCGTCGTGTCCATCCATTGGTGTGTGTAACTGGAGGTGTCCTGCCGCCGGGGCGTCGTGTCCATACATTGGTGTGTGTAACTGGAGGTGTCCTGCAGCCGGGGCGTCGTGTCCATCCATTGGTGTGTGTAACTGGAGGTGTCCTGCAGCCGGGGCGTCGTGCCCATCCATTGGTGTGTGTAACTGGAGGTGTCCTGCAGCCGGGGCGTCGTGTCCATCCATTGGTGTGTGTAACTGGAGGTGTCCTGCCGCCGGGCCGTCGTGTCCATCCATTGGTGTGGTGTGATCTTGTCTATCTTCAATGTGTGTGTGTATCTTCAATCATGGCTTATCCTCTGGGAGCTTTGTTTTAATTTAAGACGGCATTTTGAAGATTGACGTTAATTTGAATATTAATTTGTGTGGCTATTACTATTTTCCCGAAGAATGTGCTCATGGCCATGCCTGCCACGAAACCCAAAACAATAATTTTTCCAACATTTTTTTTAGTTGTAGGACTTTAGACTTTAAATTTAAATATTGTGATTATGATTTTTAATTACCACGGTAACTCATGCAATGTTGTCCATAGTATAACAGTTAAGGTTTCCAAATAACATTTGTTTTGAATAAGACATACAGCTAAAGGTCCAATTCCTATCCTGCGACTGTTACGACCACAGAGCAAAGAATAATAAGTTACGACTCTAGTATAGAAAATAATAAAACAAGTAGGGGTGGGAACACGTGCTGATATGTGCCTTCGTCTATCTAAACGCAACATGTTTTACATGTTTTATGTCCCCATCTTAACGATTGATAATTGATTGATAATTGATAATTGATGAATGTAAAGTTGATAGCCAATTTATACGACCGTGGACTTGTTCAATGTTCACACAAGATTGAATAATAAATAATTCTGTTCTTTAAACATTTTTGAAGAGTATACAAGTTTTAGTGGCTTAATTACATAGCCTAAGTAGTAAAATGTTCCTTTTTATGAAACGTTGAAGCTGTGAACAAATTCATAATTTTAAAATAAACAACTTTTTAGCAACTTGGTTTGTAATGTTTAGAAAGATGGACAAGTCTCTAAAATTTAATTCTAAAAGAATATGCCACAACAATTATCGTGAAACTATACAGTGTTAAATTTATAAATTATTAAAACTAATAATCATAGTAGCTATATGTACAGGCATATTGCTAATGCTTAAGTAAAGCTTTTAACCACAATCCATTCCTATGTGCGCTCTTCATTTCGCTTCCACTTAAATGAATGAATTCGTTTACACAAGACTTATATCAGACTATTAAAATAAATTTACAATTTCCACTTTAATTTTAAAATATCACTGTCACACATAAAAACTGTTAGTAATTATACTATTAGATAGACTACTCACCAACACATAAGACAGTTAACTAGTGCTAGCCACTTTGAAGTTAATGCAATTGATTGGTTGATCATACTACCATAATTAATCAAATTATCCAACTGTTTGTGGAATGTGTTTAACCTTTGGTACTTTGTCTGTGGTTATCCACATAATATTTCTTCCAGTAAAATGTGAAACAAATGTCAATATCTTACAAGCCATCAATAATTTTTAATGTGATGGTAGATATGCATTCAGTATATTTTAGAAACGTCCTTAATTATATTTACTGTATATTAAATTGTGTTTACAACCTTAATTAGCTACAGTTAAATAATCAGTATCAACAATTGGACACATACCCTACTTTCCCCTTGACAACAAACAACCCTTTACATGGGCAACATTGGTGGGAATAGCTATGATATTTTATGGAGAAAATCATAAAAACTGCAATAACTTTTTAATAATTGTTGTCATTGTAATTGTCATTGTGAGTTGTGCCATTTTGTTTGGAGTTAAAAGGTCCCTAAAATACTAATTTTCAATCAAAATTGTTCTAGCCATCTTTCCGAAATTAGGTACTTTTTTCCATTAAATAATGGATGAAATAAACCCATCATAAAATCATGGGTTTTTAGGGGAAAGTGGTCTTTAAAAACAAAATTTAAAAACTGGAGATATCCTATTAAAAAAATTAGTACCCAAATCCCAAATTTCATAAAAATCGGACCACAGGTGTAGTTTGTAGCTCTGTATACAGCCACACTCACAGACTCACACCCATTCCAAGACGGGGGGCCACCAGTTGACCGACAAGATACTTGGTCGTCTTGCCACTAGACCGTCTTTTTTAATTAAATAGATAAATACTGAAAACCAGTACGTCGACAAGTTATTTCATCGTCAGTCCAGTTGACCGGCCTGTAAATCTAAATT